ATGACATGTTGTACGGCTTGGAATTCACACCAGTAGCTCCAATACAAACATTTCAGAATGCTTGGGTGTCAATCTGAGGACAGTGCAGAGAATTCAGAAAGAGTTGGATGAGTCTAATGGTGAATACAAAGGTAAAGCAGCGCAGAAAACTCACTCTGATCATTCTGATAAGAAAACAATTCCCAAATTTGTTGGTGAGGGCCTCAGATTCAACACAGTGGCCTAAATCCAGTGCCTTGAGGAGGTAGTCCTGCCCTGGTCAAAAGGGTGGCTGCTGGAAGACCCTATGTCTAGCAACAGGGCTTTGCACCATGCCACACAAACAGGAGAAACCAGTCATGGCTGTCAGACAATTTCTAACCCTAACCCCTTACATCTGGCCACCTAACTCCCCCAATGGTAACACCCTTGATTATTATGTGTGGGGCACATTTGAGCGAGAGACCAACAAAACTTGTAACACCAAAGATGAACTGAAGGCAAGGATTATAGCAGCATTCACCAACTTAAACAAGGAGACTGTCCAGAAGAGTTGCAGGAGATTCCAAAGTCATCAGCAAGCTGCGGTTGAAGCCAATGGCAATTTCATTGAATAAATTTACTCTTTAGTATTTCAAGATATTTTTTGTATAATTTTGGTAAATATATCTGCTAAAATGAGATGTCAGTGTTATTTTTATTTTTGCATAATTTGGACAACAATTTACCCATTGCACCTCGCATACACAGTGTATCAAAAATACTTTTACAAACTTTGGGCAAGTTCCTAAAAGCAAAACATAGACAAAAGTCCATATAAATATATGTCAGCAAATTTTTGAGTTAAGTTTAAAGTTTACAGTAGATGGTGCCATGTTGCCATGTAGACTAGGTTACATTTGTCATTCTTATACATTTGTGGCTAGTCTGTCTTCAATATTTAACATGTGTAGTAGAGAGTTATCTGAGAAGCGTTCCATAATGGCAGGATATTCATATCATGAACAGGTAGATATGATTTTTACAAATGGCAACACAAATGGTAATGGACATGAGGCTGCACAGCTGTATTAGATTGTGTCTCCAGATCAAATTCAGCTGAGTCACATTGCTGAGACAGGATCCATGGCACCACAAACTATAGATTTTGGATTTTACATTTAACAGCGTTTACTGTAAACTTTAAACTTAATAACTCAAAAATAAAAGATTTGCAAACATATGTTTATATGGACTTTTGTCCTAGTTTTGGTGTGAAGAACCCACCAGCAAAGTTTGCAAAATTATTTCTGATACACCATATATATATATAAAATTATTAGCAAGTAACTGAATGACAAAATAGAAAAAGAAACTTTTACATGTTTGATCATTTGAAAGATTTTCTGATTAAATTATGATTTTTTTTATGAAGTCATATGATGTCTAGTCAAAACATATTGGGACCAAATGGCACAAATTGACCTTGAACACTGTTGCTCATGCACACCTAGTTATAATGTTCTTGCTCATTTCCATTGTTTATAGTTGTGCTTGGAAGGAAAGTGTGTAGAGTGTGGTTGTCTCACCAAAGCACTCTAGAGGTTTCATCAGTGACCATGTCTGTGCAGCAGTTTTTAGCCAAGAAAACATCCCCCAGGTCCGACAATCACCATATTCCCCAGATCTCACCTCTTGCAACTATTTCCTCTTCAAAAATCAAATTCCACTTGAAAGGAACAAGATTTCAAGACAATAAGGAAATACAAGAAAATGCAACAAGGCAGCTGTTCACTATCCCAAAAAGGAAGTTCCAGGAATGCTAACATCAATGGAAACAATGCTGGATAAAGTGTGTGGTTTCAGAAAGGGATTACTTTGAAAGATATTAAACACTGAATTGATAAGTGTTGTAGTTTTTTTTTATGGCACCTGTCCCAATACTTTTTAATCAGACCTTGTATGTCAAGGGAGGAAATGAAATACAACAAATGACTGTTAGAATTATATATTGAAAGAAATAACTGAAGAAACAGAGATGTTTAACCTTTTAAATTTCTAGTATCTGATAGATTGAGATCAGTGTTTCTCAACCTTTTTACTGTTGTGGAACCCTTGAAATAGATTTCATGTCTCAGAGAACACCTACATCAAAATTATTATATACCATTACTAATATCTCTTTTACATTTTTATTGTACTTCACATAGTAAGCATAATATATGGACAGCATGCATGCACCCTGTACTCAAGTCAAGTAAGTCACTCAATGATACACAAATCCACCAGGTACTGGTCCTGTCCACTAATCAGTGAAGATGGTTTCACACTGATGCCGTATTCTCTATAATTATTATAATTTTAAATAATATTGTTGAGACCTTTATTATAATAATCAAGGATTTTCCAACAATATGCCGTTTGTGTAAAATTATTAATATAAAATTAAACAAAAGGTCTTAAAAATGTATTAGCTTATTTATCATGGTTTCTTGTGGAACCCCAGGGTTCTGGGGAACACTGGTTGAGAACCACTGATCTAGATGCACAACCTAGCTGACCATATTCAACTTTTATTCTTAAATATCCCACATTATAATAGTTTTTTTAAGAATTTTTTTTTCCATTTTGTCATTTATTGACCCATCATGATAAAGCATAAGTTAAAAAAAGAAAAAAGTAACATGCCTTGATGATATAATGAAAAAATGTATGTAAAATGTTTTGGCATAACGATAAGCTTTAAAGACATTATTTTAATACAGTATAAGACTTTTTCTAAAGAGAATATCTCCTGCCATAAAAAGTTGTTAACAATCAATATAAATCCAGCTTCTGAAAGGTTTTAATCTTAGAAATTCTTTTTTTTAATGCTAAGATATATTGTAAGTGAAGAAAAAAAATTAATAAAAATTTATATCTAAAATTATACTAAAAGAATGAACAAATGATTTCAGCTTGTAAAATTACAGGAATTACTTTCTTATTCAAATAGTCTCTCTTTCATATAAACACACAAATTAAAGCTTTGGTCTTATGCACAATTCAAAGCTTTGGTCTCCCTTACACATAATTCAAAGCTTCGGCCTCTCTTACGCACAATTCAAAGCTTCGGCCTCTCTTATGCACAATTCAAAGCTTCGGTCTCTCTTACGCACAATTCAAAGCTTTGGTCTCCCTTACACATAATTCAAAGCTTCAGCCTCTCTTACGCACAATTCAATTCAATTCAAAGCTTCAGCCACAATTCTTCTCTTTAATTCAAAGCTTATGACTCTCTTCGCACAATTCAAAGCTTGGTCTCCTTACACATAATTCAGCTTCAGCCTCTCAGCACAATTCTTGGCCTCTCTCGCACAATTCAAAGCTTCGGCCTCTCTTATGCACAATTCAAAGCTTCGGTCTCTCTTACGCACAATTCAAAGCTTTGGTCTCCCTTACACATAATTCAAAGCTTCAGCCTCTCTTACGCACAATTCAAAGCTTTGGTCTCTCTTACGATTCAAGCTTCTTACAAGCTTTGGTTTTTCTTGCGCACAATTCAAAGCTTCAGTCTCTCTTACATACAATTCAAAGCTTCAGCCTCTCTTATGCACAATTCAAAGCTTCGGTCTCTTTTATGCACAATTCAAAGCTTTGGTCTCTTTTATGCACAATTCAAAGCTTCGGCCTCTCTTACACACAATTTAAAGCTTCGGTCTCTCTTATGCACAATTCAAAGCTTTGGTCTCTCTTACACACAATTCAAAGCTTTGGTCTCTCTTACAATTCAAAGCTTTGGTTTTTCTTGCGCACAATTCAAAGCTTCGGTCTCTTTTATGCACAATTCAAAGCTTCGGCCTCTCTTACACACAATTCAAAGCTTCGGTCTCTCTTATGCACAATTCAAAGCTTTGGTCTCTCTTACACACAATTCAAAGCTTCGGCCTCTCTTATGCCCAATTCAAAGCTTCAGTCTCTCTTACATACAATTCAAAGCTTCGGCCTCTCTTATGCACAATTCAAAGCTTCAGTCTCTCTTACATACAATTCAAAGCTTCGGCCTCTCTTATGCACAATTCAAAGCTCCGGTCTCTCTTATGCACAATTCAAAGCTTCGGTCTCTCTTACATACAATTCAAAGCTTCAGCCTCTCTTATGCCCAATTCAAAGCTTCGGTTTCTCTTACACACAATTCAAATTTTCAGCCTCCCTTACGCACAATTTAAAGCTTCAGTCTCTCTTACACACAATTCAAAGCTTCAGTCAAATTCAGAAAAATTGACCATCGTGAGATTTGAATTACGATCTCAAAGTGGAAACACCAATGCTCTAACAACTCAGCCATGCATCTGCTTTGAACTTACTTATAAATTAAACCCTTGGACATTTAGAAAAACAACCCCATTTTACTGGAAAGAGTAATAACAGCTACTGTGCTTGAAAAAACTATTTTGCTGTTTTAAGTGAAAGATTTTATAAATTACAACAGACAGTAGCACTAGCTACTCGGTTAATGAATGCCAAATATTTCTTTATAAGGAAATTTATGATAATATATATTTCATTCTTGCATCATCAAAACCTTGTATGCCAAACAGGTATGTTTAGGTGTTGGTCTTTTATCAATAATCTTTACCCGCATGACCTACACAAATCCAACCACCAGGGTATAAGATACAGGGTGATTATTGGAAGAGAATTTTTCTTTTTTAATGCTTTATATGGCAGGAAATATGTTCATTTTCAGATATTTTATCGGGTTTTCTTTATCAATATAAATAAAACTAAGTCTTCAAATTATCCATTCTGCCAAATTTGAAATTATAGCTTTCGTTTTCTTGCAATATCATAAAAATCCACAATAAATAAAAAAAAATAATTTAAACACATACCATGTAAAAAACAAAATGATATGATCAAATGTTATGGGTAAATGTATTGTATAAAATATATAAATCCAAATCAGAATTAATAGAGAGCAGCAAAGAAGTTATGTTCAGTTCTTGACCACCACGGATTGTGTCCCTGAAATGTTATGGTTCCATTTAATCTTCACATGATTAAATATGACTGTGGGCATAATGAAACTGATTGCCAAATTTGTCCTTACTTTTCTTGGCATCCATAATGTCTAACACAGCATTGACCCTCTTCAGTGTAGATCTGCAAAACAAAGACAGAAATGATTGACAGAAATATTAGCAGTCAAGTGATATGCATTGAATCTTGCCCTGTCAGTGGGGCTTAGAATATGTCAACTGTACCCTTAAACAGAGAGATAAGACCCTCTCCCAACACACATTGGTTATGAATTCATTGGTTTTAGATTGTTAGTGAGAGGATATAGATATTTACTAAGGTTAGATTTGTAGCCTAGCACAAGGTCAAACAGGGCAGAAACAGAGAGAGTAAGAAACATTATACTTTTTTTTTTTTTACATTTTTAGATGTAGACGGCACAAGAACCACTCAAAGTAGAGGATTAGACATCACCAAAAAACCTGACCTTGCACCAACTGATTATTACATTTTTTGACCACTGCAAAATGCTTTCATGGGAAAAAATTTCTATAATAAAAATCAGATTCAAAAGCTTGTCAAAGACTTTTTCACAATAAAATCCATGGAATTTTACTCAAAAGCATGAAAGAGCTGCTTGATAAGTGGCAACAAATCATTGCAAATAAGAGTGAATACATCTTTGAATAAAATGTAGTTTCACATTATTTTTTGAAGGATAAAAATGATAAACAAAAACAGAAATTATTTATGACTCAAACTAATAGTTCTGTCATTTGTTTTCAATTAAAACATAATGATTTGTACTTTTAATTAAGCTGTTAGTATATCTTCTGTACAATTCTCTCATAATTAAATTTTTACCTGCATAAAATCTGTTAGTATAAAGCTAAACACACTTTACATTCATTATAAGCAGTTATTCTCTTTTTCCTAAACATTTACCACATATACAGGGTGTGGCAATTTAATTCTCTGAATGACCACAGTAGTAAGCTGGAGTAACAGATACGTAAGCATTAATACATTTCCCAACTTCTGCTTTTTTAAAGACACAAAAAAAAAATATATATCAGATGAGTCATTTGATGCTGAGCAGTAGAGGAAGTTATGTGTGTTCATGTTATACTGTTGGCGGGAAATGAGTGAAAGGAATCAGGAGCAGTGGATTAACATCAAGTTTTGTGTGGCATAGGTGTTTCAAGAAAGGGTAAGAAGATGTTCAAAATGTTGCAAGAAAAATACAAAGAACAGATGCAAATGTGGACAGTGTGTGAAACTTGGTGTGCTCTGATCAAACATTAAGTACGTGAACAATAACAGAAGAACTGAATATGAATAGGAAAACAATGCTGCAGATTCTAACAAAGGAATTGGGAATGAGAAAAATTTCCTCAAAGATGGTGTTTTGGATCTGGAAACATTAGCTTCATGTTTCATCTGATCTTTTGCATAATGGAGAAAGGTTTGATGTAGCTATATTACAGAAAGGTACTATGTAAAACAACTTCCAAGAAAGTTTCCAGTGGTGGTACCATTGTCTCATGAAATGCATTTCACCACCAAAGTGAAATGACATCAGTTAATCATGGCCATTGCTTTCACAGGGGCATTCAGGGAATTGCCACACCTCATATACTTACATTTATGGAAACACAAGATTGCCAAAAAGCAGGTTTTATCTACTTACGCCTTGAACAATTTTTTCTGCAGTCGGTCATGGACAGAGTTCCGAGGAGTTTTTATATCAGTCAGGTTTACTTCCTCTTTTTTCTTTTTTCTCTTCCCTTTGCCCTTACCCTTGCCTTTTTCCACACACAGGTCCCTATCAGAACCAAGATCGATCCCAAGAGCAGCTTCAATGTCTCTCTGCAATTCCTTGTCTTGCCAACCTGAAATAACAATTGCATAATCATATATCAGTAACATAAGATATAAGATAGTAATCCGAGAAATTCAATATTTTTTAGGGCACCAATATTCAGAACTTAAAATGATTACTTGGTTACTTATTTTAGTACATCATTTTACTTACAATTATTGCCACATGACGCAATCAATAGTCAATGCATTATTTAAATATATTAGCCATAAATAATCAACAGTTCCTTTTTATACTATTGCCAACTTAGATTGTTTTTACATTTACTTAATTAGCAAAGTAATCATTCTAAGTAGCAAAGTAATTATTCTAAATAATGCAATTAATCAAAATAAGTGCTGCATAATTTGTTATGATTTTTCAGTAGTCTAGTTGATTAAAAGGAGATGTGGATAGTTATTGACATGAATCATGGAATTGGCGTGTCAATTTTCAAATTCCAGCTTAGTCTGTTGCATTCACTTTCACACTAATGTCCTTTATATATATATATATATATATATAGATAGATAGATAGATAGTAATATATATATATATATATATATATATATATATATATATATATATATATACACACACACACACACAACAATAGGTTTGCTTTGCTTGACTCTAACAGAGTCTTACCAGTGCACCATTACAGTACTAAGCAATTGTTTTACTGTCATTATAAACTGTTATAATCCAAATTTTGATTTCTTGTCCAATGTAGATGTGTACCTCAACTAGTTGTTATTGATATGACTCTTGTCTCAAAGTGATCACAGTAAGTGGTTTCTTTTATACAATATATTAAAGGTTCACCATTTTTTGCAGCCTCATCTTTTGCAAGTCTCTCTGCATCTTCCTTGTTTGTTGGTCGCCCCATATTATCACGGCCAATAATTTTACCATGGAAAGGGCACTGGTTAAAAAAAACAAAAAAAATAAGATAAAATAAAGTCATTTGATAATACTGGATTTATATTCACTGAAATTAATAAATAGAAAATACTTCCAAAAATGGATATTGGTGCGATAATCTCAAGGGGAAATTGAAATTACATTTAAGAATCCATTCTTTGTTCCTGATACTCCCAAAAGCTACTCTACAGGGAATAAGTCTGTCCCATTGACAACACTTGCCCTGCTTGAAACCATTTATTCTCAGGTTTGCTTTAAGGTGCCTCTAAAGCTAAAGTGAATTCTGTAGTTGCATCTCCATGTCACAAATGTGGGTCTTCCTGTAGGGACATGGAATAAGGTGGACATGACACCTGAAGTTGTAACAAATGCAGCACAGGAGTGAATGACCAGTACTATAGCAAGACCAATTCTTCTTCTTTCCTTCAAGAGTGACCACAGAATAGACTAGTTAGGTTGGGGAGCAATAAAAAAAAACCCTAAGAGAAGATAAAATAAATCTAAACCTGGTTAGATGGAAGTAGCACAGAAACATGTAGTCATCTAAAAGAAGGAAAACCCCAACAGAAAATCAACCCTTCCACAGCTTACAGAAGTTGGGTGTAGGGTCAATCACCCTATCCCAAGGAATGATTCAATTACAGAAGCCTCAAACAGAACAACACATGGTTTAATCAATAATTTTAATTGATTGTAAGTATCAACAAGTTTTATATTAAGGACTCAAATAATAATATATAATATTCTGATCAAGTAATTCCAATATTATTTCCTTTGTAATAAAAAGTATTTCTTTAATCTTTTAATTTTTAAATGATTTTTAATGCCATGTTCCTTCAGATCATAGACAATCACAGATCTTTACAGATTCCTTTTTTTTTTTATTATCTGGGAATTACCACCACTTCTTTGGGAAGATGATGGAGTGGTATCCTGTTACCTTCTTCAGTGTTTTCTTGTTGTTGTAAGTGTGTATAGGGAGAAAGCAAGTGCAGCATATTATGAGCATATCTAAGTTAGATAATGGTTGACCTGCAATTTGAAGCGGTTAAGATTAGAGTGGTCAAAAAAGCATCTCCTCAGGAGACCATTCCTTTGCAACAAATTTGGCTGGAACTTGACTCTACTTGCCAATACCCCTTTCTGCACCAATAACCCTTATGCTACCAACACAACCAATCTTCTAATATTTATAATAAAAAAAGAAAAGAAAAAGTCACTTTTAGCAATTTTAAAAAGCAAGAAATACTCTGTCAGTTCTAGCAATCAAAAAGACAATTATTGCTGCATTCTAAGTGGCTACATAAAGCAAATCACTCTTGGACAGTACTAAATGAAACCCTTGTATTTTAAAGTAAAGATAAACAAACATGTAAAACGCTGTGACTCAGCCCAATTGGGGTTCAAAGATTTGTAGCTCACATGACAAGAAAGTGGCCCACAACATTTAAATTATAGAGTGCCTCCCCAGCAATCTTGAACATCTATTACCAATATTGGAACCAATGATATCTTAGTAATAGTAATTGTAATATTAGCCGTTTCCTTACAAGGAAACATTTGGCATTCATTGACCAAGCAGCCAGTAATGCTTTCAGTTGAAATTTATAAATCTCCTTCTTTAGAAAATTTTACAGGAAAACGGGCTTCTCAAGTCCAATAGCTATTATTGTTCTTTCCAGTATTGAAGGGAGTTTCTTTCCTAACCTTTTGTTTGAGATAGTGTGGAATTTTGACATCTTGATTATGCCATGATTTTCTTTTCAAGTTACATGTGCTATCCATTTTAATTTTTGCTGCTGTTGAAAGTCCACAAGTGATGTGGTTTCTGTTATTTGGCACAGTTCTGTGTGATTCTGTAGTGCCAGTCCATGATCTTAGGTAAGATTTATTAAACAAATATATCAAAACTTTCATTATTTTTAATGATTACATATAATAACAACAGTGTAAAATCTGATAATAGAACAAATATGAAACAATAAACACATTTGTTATTCCAGCAAAGACTGCATTTGAACCCTATATATAACAAGAAATAAATTAAAAAAAAAAAACAAAATAGAATACACCTATATTTGAACAACTTTAGAAAACACAGAGTATTCTGGAATATTAACATAATTTTAAGTCGAAATAACTTTGCTACATTAACTTTTGACACTCAGAGTCGAAAAGATAAAGGAAAGGAATAATGGGAGAGTATAAAGAGACAAGTAAATTATGAAAAAATGAAATAACCACAACATACTAGATATACACACAAAGAAAAATCAACTTAACATCAACAAAAAAGTGCATAAATTATTATATTTCTTAATGTAAAAATAATGAAAATGAGAAAATTGGCAAACATTTCCTGATATCTACTGATGAGTGGACTGAACAGTTACACAAAGGTTCATCTATAAAACTCCAGAATAGAAGTGCTGAATATAACACCAATCAGCTAAGTGACAAATTTTATATTTGTATTTATGTATTGCTTATGAATGTATATGTGTATATATATATATATATATATATACACAGGCAAGGCATTTCTTATTACTACACACTGACTTTACTGCTAAATCACTACTACTCACCCCACCTTAGCTTTAGTTATTTCCTATATAAGCAAACAAAAGGAGGTGTAGAGAAAAACCCATGTCAATTTTTTTACCTAAAATTTGTTTTGAACAGATTTTGCCAGTCTGAAATTAATTCTTTGATGTATTGTGCATTGAAAATGGGAGAAAAAATTTCTTTTTCTTTAATCATTTTTTTTAATCATTTCATTCCAAGAAAGGCAATAAAGCCAATAAGATGCAAGGTGAGAGTGAAGTAAACTGAGAAAATGTTGCTGAGAAGAAAAGCTAATAAAAAGAAAAGGATTCAAAGAGATTGTCAGTGTTTAGGAATTAAAGTAGATATTAAGGACAGAAAATGGATATTATTTGTATAATGTAAATACATTGCTAATGGCTTTATTATGGAAGGCACCATAAATGATTTTACTATAGAAATGCATTGAAAATGTGGGAAAAAAATTATTGTTAATGATCAGAAATTGAGGCAAGCATTACTGACCGAAGAGGCATATCTTCTTATAATTCTGCTTGTCACTCCCTTAGTTAACACGACTGTTACACCCTGCTAATATCTCATAAATAATGAACTATTCTGTTTTGATCATGTGGAAAGATCGAAAAGACACGTCAGAGACACTACATGGTTTCAGTGAGAAAGAAGAAAAAGGAAGATAAAAGTGTTTCATGTCTGTTTTAATGAAATGGAAAAGTTGTCAATATGAAATTTTTCATTTGTACCATTTTACTTCTTAAAATAATTTGTGTTTAAATAATATTTAAACACAAATATTTAACCACGTGATAGAGGAATTTCTAAGGATATTTTATTGTTGCCTTAAGATTATTCAATTGTTAACTTAAGAATTAAGGTTCTTCAGAAAATAAAAATAGGAAAACCGTGAAATTTTCACAGGTATTTCTAGTTATTAGTATAATGCAAATATGGCAAACATGGACCTTTGTGCCCATAAAAACATGAAGTGTCAAATGGATGGTTTTTCCCATGACACCACTTTTATTTTTAACTACCTGCACTCATTGGCAATGTTTATTGTTTTAAAAAGTGATAATTAGAATTGTAATGAAACCTAAACAAATGAAAGTGAATTTATACATTTTCTTTGTTTGCAAGAATTGGCAACAAAAATAAATAAACTTTGCCAAGGAGTAAAAGTAGTTAACATAAAAGTGGTCTCATAGTAAAAAAGTTTCCTTTTGACACACTGTTTTTTTTCATCCATGAAGATCCATGTTTGCCAAAAATATATTACTAATGGTTTAACTATATGAAGCACTGTCAATGATGTTACTATAAAAATACATTGTAAATGTGGAAAAAAGATTTTCAGTGTTCAGGAATTAAGACAAGCATTATTAACAGAATAGAACCATTATATGCATAATTATTAAAATAAGAAAAAAAGAAACAGTAAAAAGACATTACAAAATAATGTAGTTCTCCAAATTACCTAAATGTGTAGCCAGACTCAATTATTTAGTATAATTTACAGGTACAAATTTGTATTAAAAGAAAAGCTCACCTTTATTCGATCCATTCTTGGGCATAAAGTTCCATTTGGCATTGGAGCTCGACATTTCCACTTGACTGGTTCAAATTCACCAACAAACGAAAAGGAACGGTTCTTGAGAAGAGCAATGTCTTGCTGAAGAATTAATGAAAAAAAGTGATTTTTTTTTTTTTTATTTGGAAGTGGTTATAATATAAAAAAGCTTAATTTCTTATTTGACTCTGAAAACCTAAGTTGTTTCTTCTGAAAAACACAATTCATGATATCATACAAAATTATAATCAATTAAATCTCTATGATACAAAGTTAAGTTGACAAGGATACAAAACATAAATAATTTCATCTTACAAGCAAAAAACACAAATAAAATTATTAAAAAAATTTATGAAATTAAAATATTTGTAATTTTTAACCTTTAGCACTCTGCATTATTAATATCATTTCCCTTTTCACTGCATTATTTTTCAAGGACACTCAGTTGCAGTAACCTTATTGTTAATTTCACTCAAAGGTGTTTTCTGTTGCCATAGCAGGATATGGCAACATAACTATACAATTCAAACAAATTCAGGGATCAGAATCACCTTCAGTAGCAGGATAAACTTTTTGCACAGTAAGTGAAGTCACATACAGAGTGATAAAGGTTAAATGTCATCCTTCAAAAATACCACAATCCCAAATCCTAGTTATTGTACAATATTTGATGTGCTCTATTACTTTCGTTAAGCTTATGATTAAGATTACACAACTATACAAAGATAAGACATTCTATTTTAGATTGTCAAAAAATACATTTTTATTTTTATTAATTTCTGAATAATTATCTTTATTTTAAACAATATCACTAAATTGCTTATAACCTGAAGACTAACTCAATTTCCAACCCAGCTTAATAATAACAGTGTGGAGTCAGCATTCATGTTCACCATAATAGTGTTCTGATTTTTTCCATATTTGTGTGTTATTAAAACTGAAAAAAAATCGTACCAACATTGAAAGTGGAGAAGAAATAGAAGAATTATTCACTGCTGAACAGAGTAATGATAACCATGAAATAATAATAATAAAACTTTTAAATAAATTCTTTCATAATTATTTTTCGACAAAAAAATATTATTTCACATGAATTATTTTATGCAATTTTTTTCTTTTCTTCTTCTATCACAAACATTCACACACAGAAAAAAATATTTTTAAATTCTAAGCCTATGTGTTAAAAAAATTTTAACACTAAGCTGTTGATAAGGGATTAGTCAAAATACAAGTAAAGCTAACTACACAGCTAAGACCTGCCATGCCACACACATTGTAGTGAACCACCTTCATTCTCTTCATGAGATGTAAGTTCCACTCAAGCAGCTTCTTTCCACGAACCATTACTTTGTGGAGCCAACTCCCAAAAGGATGCTCTCCTGATCACTACAATTTTAATCTTAAGGTTAACCATTATCTTTCCCATATATCCCCAAAAACTGTCTCTTACACTGTAACCCTCTACTTCTAGTGGCTCTTGGGCCTTCTATAAAGTGAAAAAACATTGTAAAAAGGAACATTTCGAATTATCCTTGCATCTTCTAAAGTGAAGTTTTTAAAAGAGTTCTCTTCCCTTAGGCCAATGGTTTTAATTTTGAAGTCTGTCAATGTTCAAAGAAAATTAGAATAATCTCCCCTTATTTATTTATTTGCAAATAATTCTAACTTCTTGGCACAAATTTAACATCAAGCTTAAGTACATCTTTATAGTAATTCATTTTCACAAGCAAAATTAAATTAAAGGTCTTTTAGGTTTACAGTTGTATGAAGTTATGAAATTAAATATTATTTTTTATTATTGTTTTCCTCTTTAATGTTTTTAACAATGTTTCAACTAACATTTGGTTTTTAACAGTTTTATTTGGTCTGCTTCAAGGTTCAATCATGGTCTTTAAAATTAATTACATTTTTTTTTCTTTTACTGTTCTTTGGCCTTGGTATCTCCTCAATTAAAATATCAAATTTACATTATTTACATTCAGACTAGTATTCTCATCTTTATTGTTCACTTCTGAACTCTATCAAATTAACATTGGCTGAATTGAAAGTTTGTGGTTTCAGATCTTTCTTTGAACATTCAATCTCCTTCTTGCAAAAATTTGAGGGATTATCCCTTTCCCCTCGTGAGTCAAGTGTTTATATAACTTCCTGTTATCCAGTCTTGTATGTGCATATCTTAAATTTAGCTGAGTTCACTTTCTTGTTTATGTTGGTGCACCCATCAACATCATTTGAGACTCAATTCAGCACTTGGTAGCTTTGATGACCTCTTCTAGGTCAACTTTCTGGGTTCTTAGGTTTATTTTGTGACATTCTGAAGTGACACCAAGTAGAAGACATACTTTGGCATCTCTTAGGGCAAACCTAGTACATATTGGGGTCACCACAATACAACTCTTCTTAGATCAAAGGTTCCTAATGGGTATTTGATCAGACCTTTGGTATTTCCTGGCATCAACACATAGTACATTAGGACAGGTTAATTTTCTTTTTTTGTTTTTTTTTTTTTTAGAAAATCAACATTATACTTGATGTGAAAGTTAGGGTTTGATGTGTTAAGTACTAATACCAACAATTTAATTCATAGCTTTTATCAATTTTGAGCATCTAATTTTAAAGATTGTCTGAAAAATGTACAGAAATATACAATTTTCATAGGTTTTTGCTTTACAAACTGACTTCAAACTTTTAGTATTTAAAGAACAAATCCAGATAAAGCTGATATTTTTTTTGTATTAGATACACTGAATGGAAAATGTATTCAAACCAGAATTATAATTATGAATCACCACAAGCAAAATATGTAATTTACTGTATTTGATAAGTGAAAACTGTGTAAAAATTGTAAAAGATTACAAAAAAGGCTAAGCGAAAAAATTACTCTAGTAAATTGACATGACTAATTAAGTTTGAATAAATGTTTATTTATTGATGTAATGGAATAACCTATCATCCCCATGAGTGACTACACTATAGGTAGTAACTACCTATAAGTATCTGTAAGTGAACGGACTACAGAGACTAGACTTACACAAAAACTGCTGACCTTCCAATAGTAGCACTCACTACTGGATTGATTTGCAATGACCTTGTGCATAACTGTTACCTTTATTTTTTGTATTGGTTTTCACAATAAACCTTTACTTATTTATTCACCGTGTTTTTCAAGTATATATTCCTATTAGCACGGAATATAACACTTATCTAATGAACAAATTTTTTTATAGCCTCTTTCTTCACTTCCAATTCATTTGGCAAAATGAAAGCATTGTGCTGTAAATTTTTAATGCAACATTTTGTATTTCAGTTGACTTTTGCTTTATTTATTCTCTGGATCCTGTCAAAGCTATACAATTGTTGATTATGGAATGTATTATCCATTTTAATTTCAAACCAATAAATTTACAGTTATTTCAAATATAAATTTTATAAGACTGTGTTATAAGGCTTTCACTGATCACCAGAATGAAATTCCAATGCTTCAATTTTCCATCTAAACTTAATCTTTAAAATGTTTCCTCAAAAAATGGTAATGATTTTGAAAAGGAATATTTGTGCCATTATTTATTATGTCAAATCTGAACTTTCAAACTGAGTGCAATACCATGGTTTCAAAATTGACCTGCCCTAATAGGCCTTATGCCAACATCCCTTTGAATCACCGGTCCCTGTACAATCACCAAAGTTAAGGAACATCAAGCATGGCAAGTATTTAGATGGGTGACCACTTAGAAATACCAGGTGCTGAAATCTTTGATGTGTGGGTGGTGTAGTGGATAATGGCTCAGAATTGTTAATTGGAGAACTAAGTTCCAATTCCAGTCAGGTTCATTATATTCACTTATGCAAAAATACCTTTAAGAAAGGTATGAATTTACCACTTCCCCTCCAGGCATGGGTTAATTAGTAATACTTATATCACTAAAACCATTATTATCTCCAAAGAAATTATAGAATTGCATACAAAATGTTTAAATTCAGCAGTAAATAATCCATAGCGTTTGATATGCCACTAAGCAAGAAAAAAAGAAAAGTAAAACAACCAACCTGCCTTAATACTATACTTTTTGATATTATTGCTATTTTTTAGTATTAAATTCATTGAAAATAAATCCAAATTTGTAATCCAGCATCTTATGTTGCATTTCTATCATAAAAGTGAATACAATAAACTCACCTCACTGGCAGTACATTCTGCTTCCTTTGGGGCCCAAAAACGATGCAAAGAATCATATCTAAGAAAAAAGAAAATAGGCTAAATATAATGAAGAAAGAATGTAAACATGATTTTTTTTTTTTTTACTCAATAAATAAAATGATCAGGAATCAGCAAGCTTTATTATTTTCAATACTGATTGTTGCAAACTATAATTAGTTAGAAGTATTCACTACTATTTCTCTAGTAGTTTTGTCTTCAAGGTCAGGATTAGCTTAGCCTCCAGCTGTATCAACTGCTATTTATATGGTTGATATTTGTATATGAATACAACACTGATAAAATTTCTACAGTTTTATTGCATCAAGAGAATACAGGAACCGAAAATAAAGATTTTCTTTTGCCAGGAAGAAGCTAATGATTTCAACATTTTTCTACTTCTCGTTTTCAATTTGTGGAATTAATTAAATCTTTAACACAAAATTATTTTTATGGAAAAACCTGTAAAATAAAGACTATAAAGCATTAACTCTACACATCTTCAGCAAATATGACTTCTCCCTTGTAAGTCCCTGACAGAGAAGCTTATATAGTCAGTCACTTATGTACCATGCGTGATACACACTTAGGTGATCATGTATCTTTCAGTACATGACTTACAAGGCAGATTTTTTCCAGCAGTAGGTTGCCATTTCTTTCTGCAGTAGACCAGGTGCCATCCAAGGCTATAGAATCAGGTCTGTCCTGCTATTTACCCATAGCTGGAGGGAGAAGAGAATTCATACCTTTCCCAAGGGTATTAGCACATAAGTGAATGTAATGGATTCGACTGGAGTTTGAATTCAGCTCTCTGATTCCTCAATCCGAGCCACTATCCATTACTCTACCTTGCTTCCTGAAGCTTATATAACAAGGTGGTAAAAAAAAAAAAAAAAGAAAAAAAAAAGGATCTTGAAGCTTATATAACAAGGTGGTAAAAAATGATTAGTTAATTACATAAACACTCCAGGGATTCTTGCAGGGATTGAACTTATTTAGCAAGCACTCCAACTGGATTACATGGTTCTCCTACATCTTTTTAGATGCAAAGTACCCTTTGTCTCAACGTGGGAAATTTATACCTGATATCCTCATGTGACACTATGGTTGTCCCCTTTCTCACCATGGGAGATTTATACTTGATGTCTTTGTTCACCATTTTAACTGCCTACTTCTTCAGAAAATAAGACTTTTTTTCAATTGGTTCTTCTACATGTTGTTGGGCACAAACTGCCCTTTCCTCATCATTGAAGACTTACACCTGATGCTTTTATGTGACACTATGGTTGGGACATCCACATAAAAGAGGAAAGTGTGATCTTATCTTGATCACAAGTGTTTTTGTTCTATAGTTGGCAGATGGGGTTTTCTGGGTGGCAGCCTCTTGACCGAATAGGAATGATAGTAGGTAAAGGAAAATATTTGAGGTCAAGTGACAACAAACCAGACAGATGGTTGCTGGTTTATATTGACAGTCACTGGTTGGGAGTGGAAAGTCAATTCTGGCTTTGGCTTGGCCTTGGCAGAGGGTGCATGATGTGTAGATGGACAGGAAGTTGTTAAGAGAGAAAAGCTGAGCTGTTAGATTGATATAGCAGAAGTTGTTCTCAAGTGTCACCTACCTACCTATCCAAGCAAAGCTTTGAATAAAACATCTGTTTTATTGTAAACAGGATCCAACTTCTTTGCAGCTGGTCCAAATCTGGGACTTTGTAAGATGTCTCATGCCAATAAAAGCAGCAGGGGAGGGGGGGAACCAGCAGTTGGCAAGACATGGTGTCTTGTGAAGTCAGTCCCATGGGCATTTTTGTTCCTAATGTTGCTATGGTTTCTGAGGCAGTGTTATTTTTGTTACCTCCCATCTCTTTCCACTCTCTATCTACTACCCCTGTACTTGCTGGCAGAGCAATCAGTTAGGTCTTTCCCCCAACCTCAACACACTTTTGCCATACATTACAACAACTATAACATGTCCAATTTTTTATGCCAATAGATTTGCTGTTTATCTCTACAAAAGCATGACTTTACAAACAAAGTTTAGGTAAAAATTATGAAGAATGAAAAATAATAGTAATCAATTGCAAAAGCTTTGATTAAATACACACAATTTTGTTTTTTGTTTACTTACTTGATAATCATAGGAACTTCTACATTGTTTGGGTTCTCCCATGATGCCAGATCAGGTCCAAAGGGTACAAATGGTGCCATCTTGAGCATCTCTTCTTTCTTTCTATCCCCAACAATGATTTCTTTCTTCACAGAACCAGTAGACTGGTTGCGCAGCTTAGATGTGCTGGGGTGGCTAATTCCAGAGGAAGTACTATAAACAGATATACATAAATAATAGAAGAATGAACAAAGTCTCTCTGGTATACAAGTCCTTTTAATTTTATATCAAATATAACTAGTATCTTGTCATGACTATTAATTAAGTAAGTATAGACAATAGACAGATAACCAACATTATCCAGTTGAGATCAGTGCAACCATTTCAAAGAAAATGTCGCCAGCTGTCATCTGTTCATATTGGTGGGGAGAGAAATACAATTGTACTTACGTATTTATTCAAGTGTAATATAGGTAATTTAGCCAGATTATTATTAAACATAAAAAAACTAAAATGTACTAGACATCCAAAACTGTTAATGATGTGGCAAATACCAAGATAACCATTTATTGCACTGATGACTATAAAAAAAAAAACCTTACATAACAGTCAGGATATTTTCATATCAGTTTTAGATGAGGACTAACTAAAAACATAGAGACTGATTAGCTGATGATACAGAAAAATACAGGCAACCTAGAAGAAATAAAGCACAGATCACAAATATTTTTGATTGAGGTTTTTCTTTGCCAGTTGATGGATAAATAATGCTGGTTACAATAAGACCTAAATGTACACTATTTACAGACAGATAGTGAAGACCTAAATGGTACGGTAATTCCTCGATTATCCAGACACCTTGAGACAAGGGTTGAAAAAATATGCTTGGATAATTCAAAATTCTAGATAATTGATGTTTATAACAACATCAATAATATTGATGATTGTAAGCACTTCTGGTGCCAATAGGGAATGCAGGGGCAAACAGATTAAGTGGTAGTTTAGTTGTTGAGCTTAGCATATATCATGTCATTGTCATGTTGCTTCAGCTTTTTAGCAGCTAGTCCTGTATAATTTATGTTTCCATCCTAAGCCCAGTGGAACAATTGAATATCTAAATTATTGAAAAAGAATGAAGAAAAATCTCATTTTCTGAATGGAATTTAACAATCACATCATTAAATAACACTTTCAAAGGCTTTGTACTGTGACACTATTACTGGTACATAATAAGAAGGTTTTCTTTTGAATAGCAAGAATGATACACTGACAGATTACTGAGGAATAATAAAAAGGCTCTTGGGATAGACTGAACGATATACCAATAAACTCTCATGGGAAAGATTGAAGATTTTATTTCTCAAGAAAAAGCCTAATTCTAAAAAGAACCAAATGGCTAGCTAAAAATAACCCTTATTTTTACAATGGGGCCATATGGTGATATTCTGACAATTGATTGACAACCACCGCTAAAAGTGCTGGCTGCGAAAACAGAAGTGGAGAATTGGATAAGATTTAAAATCATAATTCAGAGATAAGGGTTTTCTTAGAGAATGTTCCTGACAGGACCCAAAAGGAAAAAGCCATCTGGATTGTGTCTATTCTGGACAACTGACACAGGAGTGAGATGGGAAAAGAATTTTTGTGTAGACAAAAATTTGAAAAGATAATTCTTTTGAATAACGAACTTGGAAATTAATCCTCACCAGTTAGTCGAGAACCATCATTGGTCAGAGAGTGGCCAAAGTGGCAGGTGCAGATGAGGCATCGAGGAAGGTGAAGGAGCTACCCATGCCCACTGAGGAGTGTTATTGGGAGATGCTAATAAGAGAAGGACAAAGTTATGGGCAGATTAATGCCTGCAATCATCACCCGTAGAAGGGCGGAATCTCCCAAATTAAGAAGTAATTAATTTTAAGAACCCAGACATTGGAGAAAGGGTTCTTTGAGACAGAGAAGATACTGAATACCCAACTGCCCCTACACTGGTTTTGGGTGAATATCAATAAATATAAAGGAGACAAAGTGACAAACAGAGATTGTTCCAGTCACCGGACGAGAAACACCTCATGTGACTGCCTACCAAAGACAACATCCAACATCAGCCTTATGTCAAACTTCACCAAGTCAGCAAAGTGTCACATCTAACTTAAGAAGTAGGTTAGGTTGATAATTGTCTGCATGCAAACTGCTAGAGTTTGACAACAAACTAACCAAATATTGTACAAAGAACTAGATATAAACATCTTAATTTTTTATGCAAGTTATTTCTATTTTTTTGCATCTTCATTCCACTTGGACAAACCAATATGAAGATACCCAACGACGATTTGATCCTGGCCAACCTTATGATCAAAACAAATAACAACGTGGGATAAGGCAAGGCCTGGATCAAAGAGATCACCGTATTGATCAGCTGTAGGTATTGGACACTTTGGACGACCAGGAGGGACTTGAGGGCAAAAGCTCAAGGTTTTGCCGAGATTATTTTTATAAAAAAAATGAATCAATTTTTGTCTTTTCAGCTGGCCTCATGTTTTTCTACTGATAATTCCTGAAGCTGGATTAAAGTAGATGTATTTGTAAGAGTAACTTTTGGTTGAAAGCATATATTCAATCGAGTTAGCGTGAACAGTCGTGAGTTTATCATGCCAAACATCACAGTCCTGCATCAAGGTCAGAAGGTCATAAAAGAGAGTGTCATAACATAGTTGGTCAATGTGGATGGTTGTTGTGTGACCAACCTGCCTTGTTCCATGGCTAGGTACTCAAAGTAGTAGATCGCTCACAACTTCTTGTTTTGCTTACCAGTAGTGTCCTGCAAAGCTTGGACTCTAGCATTTTAGTTAATGTCCAGGCAGTGGCACCATACATTAACACTGCCTCTACAGTGGCTCAAAAGAATCTCCTCGAGGTTGTCTGGTTGATCAGATTTCTAGATTACATTTTATTCAAGGCAGCCCAAGCTTAAGCTATGCAAATTTTCACATCCTTTACAGTAGAATTTATCTTGCTTCCTAGGTATGTAAAAAGGATTCAACAGATTTTATTGATTCACAACCAATTTCAAAATTTGTCATGCATAAACATTTTCAACATTGAATATAGTTTTCTAAATTCTCAAAATGCTTCTCTGTGATGAAATATTAGAATGGGTTTTGTTTGGATAATTGAAAAATGTTTGGATGGTTTTGATTTTTCTCGTCATTTCATGTACAAATAATCAAAGAAGAACTGTATACAGGAAACATACACTGAATTTCAAATATAACCACACTCTTGTTAATTTAATAAAAGAAACAAATCATTCACAAGATTTTATTGAAATCAATTCAATCATTAGAGGAATAATATTGCTATTATCTGAATTTGATGTTGAATTCAGTTTTCTTTCATGCTTGAAATTGAGATATCAATTGAGATATCCTGATTGGTTTCATTTACTTAGCTTAATGGCATATCAACCTCAAAGGGTTATTTAATGCCAACAAGAATTTTTGGATATGTTCGTATGAATAGAGTATATATTCTTTGTAATGAATCAGGTTTCACTGACATATTTTGTAAAGGGAGATTTTGTTGAGAGTTAAATGTATTGCTGGTAATAATTTTTCCTTCAAAAATTGGTTCTAAAACAACGTAGGTAAACAGATTTGGTAAACAGTTTTTTTTTTGTTCTTTTGTTTATATTTTTCTGTAGAGCCCAATTCATTTAATGAAATTTATGATGTTACTTGGATTGGTATTTTCAAATAGATGTTTTAAGTTATTCAATTTGTAGAGTTTGTTTCAGGTTTGCTGGAATTTAAAGCAATTTAGTAGAATGTGTTTCATGGTATATGGTTCCTGGCATGGGACACATATTGGTGGTTTCTCATTTTTTACTTGATGTTGGTGGATTATGTATGTGTGTCCTATACAGAGTCTGGCTAGAATCACCACTTCTCTTATCTTTCTGTAACTTGACTGTCTTTCACTGATGATTGTTTAAGATGTTTAACAGATATCTTAAGGATTCTGGGGGAATTGTTTAAGAAATTCATAATGAATTTCATCTGGGCCAATAGCTGTACTATGTGATTCGCTTATAGCATCTAAGTTCATTTAGTGTAAAAGAATAGTTGTAATCTTCTTTGTTGTTTCAGTTAAAGTTCAGCTTATTTTTTTTTCTGTATTATGTCTAACTTTTTGAAATTGCTGTTTGTAGTTTTCACTGAAGGAGTTTTTCTTAAAGGTTTCAGCAAGTAGATTTGCTATCTCCTTTTTGCTTGTTATTTTTATGTTATTTTGGGAAAGGTGATTTAGAGGAGGTGATAAATTTTTGCCAGAGATTTTCCTTATATCCCAAACTTTATTTGGTCTCATATTGGAATGTTTTATTTATGTAATCTCTCCATGATTTTCTTTTAGCTTCTTTGAGGGCTCTACATGCTATTGTTCTTCTTTGTTTGAATAGATTTAAATTATGGGTTGTAGGTTGACTATTAAATTTTCATAGTGCTGCTCTACGTAATCTTATTGCTTTTTTGCAATCTTTGTCGAACAAAGTCTTTGATGTTTATTTGATTCACTGCTTTTTGGTATACATTTTCTTGCAATTGCTATTAATGTTTCAGAAAAATATTCAATAGATTTTTTTTGTCATCTTTGTTGGTAAGTTTTTCACAGCATTGGTTTTTATATTCCTCCAATCTACTTTGATTCCGAACTCTTCAGTATAATTGCGTAGTGATCACTGCCACATGAATTGTTGAGAACTTGCAATCCATAAAAATCAAGGAGACACAGAGTGATAGGTCAATAACTGATTATGTACCTGATGCAGGATGTAGATATGTATTATACTTATCAATTAGTAAACATAAGTCATTGATGTTAATTACATTTTCCACATTTTTCCCTTTTTTGTCAGAGTTCTTGGATCCCCATATAACATTGTGACTGTTAAAGTCACCTAATAATATGAATGGTTTTGGTAGTTGTTCTATTAGTTTATTTAGATTAGTTTCTTTTATGGGATCATGCGGTAGGATGTAAATAGAGCAGATGTTAATGGTTCTATGTAGTGTATATTTTTGGGATATCTCAAATGAGTTTAACATAAAACATCCATAATACAATCATCAAACCATATAATAATTATCAATGTGTATTTATTTATATATTTCCTGTCCCATCTGTTTTGGGAAGGGAGGTAAATTTATGAGTGATTACTTCCCTCAGTCATTTTAATTATTCATACAAATAAAATATTTATCGACATTTAGACAAAATTAGTTCCCAAACAAAATGAGCCTTTTAATTAATCAGTTCCTTTACTCCTACATTTCTTAGATTGCAGTTTTATTTGTTCAAGCCTTTCATGTGAGGCACTCAGATAACTTTGTCTATTAAGTGATTGTCTTGCTTCAACTTGGTCCTGTAATAGGCTTTATCATCGCTGTCTTTGTCATTTTGTTGCTAATCATTTTCTTCCGAGAGATATTTCCATTTCACTTTTCTATTAAGCACATTAAAGTTTTAACATGAAAAGATATTGATCAAAAAGTGATTTATATAATACCAGGAGTAATCAATCTTATATACAATTGAACATCTAAAAAAATATAAAGGGAATGGATTAATTAAACGGTTCATTAACCTTTATTTTAGTTACAAATTCTTTATCTCCACTTCATTGGATTTCAATACATTGTTTCAAGATTTTTGTTTCATTGCATTTCACTATTAAACATTTCTAACAACTGCCATCCTTTTTGATGGTACAGGTACACTAGTTTTAGAAAACCAGTGCTCTAACCAAGAGGGCACATGTCCATAAAAACAACACTACAAAAAGAGTGGTAACTGTACTTCCTAAACATATTTAACATAAAACAGTATCAGTAATACATTTTTATTAAGGCTATGAAACAAGCTAGACAAGTGAAAGAATAACTAAAAATATGAGCAAAATATTAAAATGTTTGTGAAGAAAAACTTTAAGGTCTATATAAATTAACATTTGGTTTAGTTTGGTTTATTTTGTTTTATGACATATCAACCTCAATGGGTTATTTAATGCCGACAAGATTTTAAGGATAGATGCGTATCAATAGAATATGTATTCTTTGTAAGAAAGATCAGGTTTCATTGATGTAATTTTGTAAAGAGTTTCTGTCGAGAGTGAAATGTATTGCTAGTAATATTTTTTTTCCCAAAAATGTATTACTGGTAATATTAGAAATATATATATTTGTTGGAAATTTTACTATAAAAAATCTATTTTTATACTTTCATAGTGTTTTGACCCCAGTTTGGGGGTTCACTATTTTCCTATGCCTGGGACTGTAACAGGTGCTACCCCCCAAGTCAGGGTGGCCCTGGGAACAACAGTAATTAAGAGGTAGTTCCACGTTCCTCAAAAGCTCCCAATCAGAGGCCTTTCTGCCGGATGTAGTTTATCGTTATATCCAGGATGATTAAGATTTTGTTAAATGAACAAATTTGATAGATTCAAATCACAAGTGGACACATTATTAGAACATATTCTATTAATTAATCCAATTTCAGACAAAATAAAAACCTTTTTTTTATTTCATATTATTAATAAAATGTACTTAGTGAGTGGATAACATCTTAAAATTTACTTGAATTATAATTTACAAAGATAAGAAAGACATGGCATTTAAAACATATCAAATTATTATTCTGCCAAGTTTCAATTGTTAAACATGTATAGTTACAGAAATTTTATACTCTTTACTTAACACACTTTCATGTAGAGTGTAACATATTTCTGTTAAATATTCATGCATATCCTTGAGTAAAATACTCAGTCCATGCCTCTATAATAAATAGAAAACAACCTATCAGGCTGAGTTATAAAAAATCTTCCCTTGTCTAGTCTATGTCCGATCATACCAAAAACTTTGTCTTCAGGAGAAATCTGACTGAAAACATTCTTTATAAAATCCCCTCCACAATTTCTGGAATATAAAAGTTTTTTTTTTTTTTATCTGCACTTTCTCTGCTTTCTCATTTTCCTTTTGCTTTGTGGACATGTTGAATAATTTTGCCAGGGGTCAAATTTTCTCCCACTCAACCTTCCCTCAGAACAAAATATAAACGTGAAATGTCTGCTAACCTTGGTTCACAGTCTTGTTGGCTAGAAGAAGTCGATGGCTTCTCTTCCATTGTGTTCTGCTCTAGTTCTTTCTTCCACTTGGCTACAGTTGCTGCCATAGATGTTGGGTCAGTTACATCTTCTGGACGAATATCTGCATTAATACTCCAGTGTCGTGGTGTTATTTTCACTGGTTTCTTGAGTACATCACTACTGATGAACTTCTTGACCAGAGGTCTGGATGGTTCTGTATGCGGTTTTTTAACACTCTGACCAGCAGAAGACGCAGATTTGCTAGCTACAGGGTCAAGGCCTGAATAACAGATGAAAGTAAATTTTAAAATTAGGATTTGTTTTTTTAAATAAAAAATTTTAAAATGTAAAGTCTGGAGTAAAATAACAAAGTGTAGTTTAAAATTTAAAGCTGACATTTCTTTTCTCGGTAAGAGTTTTGTCATTTTGATGTGCATGTCCAAAGGAAGTGTTTCAAAATTTAGTCATATGGGAAAAGTGGTCTAACAACATTAACAATTAGATATTCTTCTAATTCTCTGTGATCTAAATATAACACAGAAGCTGATGCTCATAGACAATTGTTCCTGATAAAAATTATGATTCTGTGATGTTGATATTTGAAGAAGGTTACCAATATTTACTTTCAGACTAATATTTTCATGTTTTTTATTGTTATCATGTTTCAACCCTTGCACCCTTTGGCCTTCTTCAAGTGTCTGTTTATCTAGGTGACCTTCAGAGTATTTTGAAGGGAACCCTTTAAACAACAAGGGTAGATTGTTCTCATTCCGAAGGTTGATGCTTAAAGTTTTTGATTGGTTGTTTTTATTTAGCAGAATATCAACACCTTTATGGGCTATTTAACGCCAAAATCTAAATATTTTGTAGGCAGTTTTATAGCTTCAACTAAAGATACTTTGTACATAATTTTATACTTTCAAGGCAAACATGTTTTTTTAGATAAATAGTTTGTAGATGATAAAATATATTACTGGTAATTTTACTATATAAAAGTATTTTTATACTTTAGTGCTGCATTGATTGTCATTTTGTTATAAAAATGTATTACAACTGGTCAGATTTTTTATAAATATATTGCTGGTATTTTTATCATAATATATTTTTATACTTTCTTAGTAAACCATGAAACAAAAATCAAAACAGGCACTACCACCCTGGGTCAGAGTGGACCTGGGAACAACAGCAATTGAGAGGTGGTTCCACACTCCTCAAAACCTCCAATCTCTCAATCAGAGGCTTTGCTGCTGGGTGCAGTTTATTGTCATATACAAGTTGATATCTAAGGATATCACATCTTGTTCTTTTTCTTAGTACTGCTCAGTTATTGCTTTTGTCTTGTTTTCATTGAGTCTGAAATGTTCTATATTAGGAACAAGAGTTGATTCAATTAAAGCATTGGCTAAAGTGTATCTACCGTCCTAGTGAGCATGAGTTCAATCCCTAGGTTGGCTAATATAAAAAAAGTCTTATACTCCGATTCAGTGAAAGTAAAAGATACATGATGCAAAGATGGACAAAACTAAGGTGAATTCAGTGATACAAGATGTAGCTTGAATACGAAAAGTTAAATGAGAACAATTTATCCCTGTGAATTGTATAAAGGGTTTTGTTCAAATATTCTGAGGTTACCATATAAAACAGAACCCTGAAAAAGGCTAAAGAGTATAACAGCTGAAACACTGTGAGTAATAACAACCAAGATGTGTATGCTAGCTCAAATAGAAAAGTATATACAGGTTGAGAATTCTTTGTCCAAAATTCTTGGGACTGAAAGTGCTTTGATTTTCAAATCTTTTTTTGATTTTGGAATACAGGCTATTTAATTTGTATATAGCATCTATAAAATGGGGCATTTTGGGAATGAAACACAGGCATAAACACAATATCCCTTTACATTTCATAATGCAGCTTATACATATACCCTAAAAGTAGTTTTATATAAGTGGCATATGTTCATGCTGGTGAGTTCATTCCATCAATACATAATCGAGATCATTGTTTTTTGCTCTGTGCAGTGTTTTTCTATTTTTCATTAATTTCTGTTTATCACTTTCATTATAAAACTTTAACAATTTCTCCTTCTGTTTCCTTCAGTCGTATATGGTGGTTGATCCAATGCCAAACTCCTCAGTCAGATGCTTTACAATTACACTCCTGTCTGCTTTTTTCAACAGTTTGGCTTTTTGCGATATTTGATAAACATAAATGCTTTTTTTTTCACTGACCATATCTGCAGGACTTTGATATTTTGAATAATATCTTTACTGAGCACGAAACACCTGGTAAGTAATCCATGAACGAAGGTGTTGCTGTGATGATCATTAACAAAAAATTAGTGCCAACATAGGCTATGTAGCTAGACTGGGGAACCTCCACCCAGGGCAGATGAGGTCACTGACAACAGCTGAATATCACCTAGGAACCTTCCCAGTGCTTTCTGAAATTTTCCATTTGTGGCAAGTCATGTCAGTACCTGAAAAACTTTCGGATTTTGGATAAAGGATACTCAACCTGGAATAAGCTTAGTAAAAGAAATTAAAAATAAGAAAATTATGTAAGGGAGGTAACTCACCATATTCTTTTCTCAAGTGAGCTGGGATTTCAGGTTCATAGCCTTCTTTTTCCTCAACTTCTTCAAAGTCATCATCATCATCATCTGAATAACAAATCAAAATAATACATAATCATTATGAATTAAAGTATTTTCTTTTTTTTTCTTTTGGAAGGTGGGGATGAACTCAACTAAATTTTATAAATAACCTATAAACAGATTAAACTTTTGTCAGAAAAATTTATGAAATGCATAACTTGAAAAAATAAAAATAAAATAAGTAAAATAAATTGAAAATCTCCAATGAAGAAGAAAGAAAATCATGACCAAGAATTGTGTGTATAACATTCTACGCAGTTGTGGCAAAGAGTACAAGGATTTAACAAGGTGAACACTAAAATCAAAACTTGAGGAACACAGAAGGTTATAATATATAGAGACACTTTAAAATCTGCTATGGATGAACATTCATTAAAGGGGATGATCTAGCCAATTTCATTGAGTTCCGTTTTTTTTTACATTTTTATCCCTTTTGATAACAATAATAAAAATGATAAAAAGAAAAAGAAATTAAATTAAAATTGACTAGACGCTATATCTATATTAAAAAAATTATTTTAAAATATTAAAATGACAGTGTTGTTCTTCATGTGCATGTGTACTCACATCAATCTAAATATCCCTTTAGTCTAGGGATCGCCACAAAAAATGTGATACCAAATATTAAAATTAATTTTTAAAAATATTTCTTAAGGCTTATATTTTAGTTTTAATTTCAAGCTAATAGATTTAATATTTCCAATAAGTAAAATACTTTACTCTATTTGAAAAACTAATTTAAATTTACTGGAAAGATTTTCTCTTTTTTTCTAAAATAGCTGATTAGTGAAAAGTTGAAAATTCACATTGGTATGGGATTAGACTAAAATAGCTGATTAGTGTTTTTCTTTAGTCATCTTTCATCACAATGTATTTCTCTTTATTAAAAAAATCTTCAAAAAATAAAATATACTTTTCTTAAACTATATTTGAGAAATATTAGTTGATTTAAAGTATAATTAATCTGATTTGAAACAAATATTATTTACTTTAAGTTTAAAATATCGCAGAAATGCATTTTTTATCCCGACAGTAGTTATGTTTTTAACCTGACAGGAGCTATGTTCATAGGTTGCTCTTGTGTAAACTTGCTTGTCAGTATACACACGCACAAATATTACGTAAAACTGTGATATCTGATAAATGTGGTTTTAATTTATTTTGCACATTAAATTTGATACAAGGTCAGTTTAATGTGCAGCACCCAACACATACATGGGATTAGAGGCAAAAAATTGTTAATTCTCCCTCAGTACTTTCTCACTGATATGGTTCAATCACCGCGGATTGACACTGACCCTCCTTGCTTTCAGCACAAGTGTCGCCCAGGGGAGCATATTAAATACACAAATGAATGTGGCTTGGTAAATATTAGTACATCCACTCAGATGAAATATATGGCATATGACCAGGTTTAAAGTTGAAAATCCATGTGGACATGGGATTAAACTAAAATAACTGATTAGTGTCTTTCTTTAGTCATCTTTCATTGCAATGTAAATCTCTTCATGAAAAAAATCTTCCAAAAATAAAATATACCTTTCTGAAACTTTATTTGAGGAATATTGTAATTAATTTGATTTGAAACAAATATTATTTACTTTAAAGTTTAAAATATCACAGAAAGGCATTTTTTAATCCAACAGTAGCTGTGTTGACATGTTTGACTAGATTATAACAGATCTAATGTCGTTCTACAGAGACTTTATCTGTAAAACATAATTGAAGAAAATGATGTGAGCGCTTTTTTTATTTAATTTTTAAGTACTCAGTAATCTTAAAATTAATTTTAAAAACTTTGGCTTTAAATTGACTATAATTATCACTCTTTTCTTATAATGTCTCTATGGTTACAAGTACTTACAAAAAACAGCAATAAAAAAAATTCAAAATTATTTTTTAAATATTGGTGTTTGATGATTTGTATTAAGCTTTAGTCCAATAAAGTCGTAAAGAACAAAATGCATCACACAATTTTTTTTCCCCACTTTATCATTGATTTTCTTAATCCTCATTGTATATAAAGCTTAAAATTTGTTTACATCCATGTATTTTTCTACAATTTATTTAATTCTAACAATGATACCTGTGTTGCATGGTCCAAGTGTGTTTACTTTGTAGTATTTTTCCCCACTTTGACAATTTACTTTTTTATTTAATTTCAGTTGAGATTGTAGAGTCTACAACACTGTGCAGCAATTAACTGAAGTCTGTAATGAAGTTTACTTCCCACTTCCCTTTGGTTAAAGTTGATGCTGCTTAGAAGACCAAACTTCAAAAGGAACCATCCACTGGTCTATCAAACAGAAACACTTGAGATCAAGATAAAAGCACCTCTTCCATTTATACATAGGTGTCTATAGTATCACAGTAGAGCAAAAGGAAATAACTTATCCCAAGAAATGCAAGGCATCATTGCTATTAAGTAATAAACCTTAAGTCAGTGGTTCCCAAACTTTTTTTCTCTGGACCACATTTTCGGAATTAAAACTTGTTCACGTCTCACCAAATTTTATGTGATAAAAAGTACATGTAAAATTAAAAAAACAGAGAGAGAGTTAAAGGGAGATAACAGCAGATACAAAGTTAGAACATTATCATTAATAACTCTCTCCTCTAATTTGCGGACCCTAGTTACTATATTCTTAATACTTGACAATAACCAATATAATGCAAAAATATCACAATGATAAAATCGGTCAATAATTATTTATAACTATTTATACTGGGACACATGCATGTAATTACAAGTAATCCATAATAATATTATAAATCTTGAAATCAATATTTATTTTTGGCATATGAATTTTTTTAAACTGTTTCTATTTCTTCGATTGTCTTTCAATCATTCTGCCACACCTATGAGGCGTGCCACACTGTTTAGGAACCATTGACTTAAGTGATAAGCATTTTCATTAAAAAATATATATATATATATATATTACTAGGAACATATCAGTCATGTGAAAGGGAAAAAAATGTTAGTGTAAAATGGTATACAGTGATACATCAGCTTAAGTTGTCAAGTCATTTTTGACGATACATCGGTTTTTCTTAAATATTATATAGAAAAATAAAACTCGCCTTAGGTCGTTTTAGTTTACATCATCCATTAAAAATATCAAACATCAAAACACTAAAATAACAATAAACACATATAAAATCATATTTCAATAAATTTAAAAATAATATTATGTATATATATATATATATATATATATATATATATATATATATATATATATATATCATAAAATCATCAAAAACAAACAAATTAGCATAATAAAGTATGTTCAGCAGATGTCCTTATTTCAAATTCCTGTTGACAGGCAGCACTTGTGCATTGTTTTCCACTCCAACACCGATTTTGAATTCAGACTTGTTTACATCTGTGCTCTGCTGTTGACATTTTTCAGTTGTAATTTAGAATACATTTCTGCCCTTGGCTCTCAAGAAAAGTACCAGTGCATGTGCTAATGCTAAGTGTAAAGCTATATCACTGGAAGATAAAGTATACGTATATATTATAAATACTGTATAATAGACAATGGGGAATGCTTATTTGCAGTTTATAGTGTGGTTATTTCAACTTAAATTGTTTTTTCAAACTAATGATTTAAAGTGAGGTGTATAATGTTTGGCCACACTTATTCAGGTATGCCTGTTGACTAGGGCAGCTAGCCAATCCTTGCTGCAGATGTCTGCTCAGGCCCATTTTGTTTATTCAACACCCACAGAGCCTACCTCTGGTTTATACTGCACCTATGCTGAGTGGACATAGTACAACTTCTGGTAGAGAGTGCATTATCTGGTGTGATCACCAATTTGAACAAGGCCAGTACGCACAAACCCTCAGTCACAATGACTCGTGACTTCATGCTAGCACAACTTACGATGGCTCTCAAATTGTTCTGTCTGTCCAATTTCACTCACAAAGCTTGGGTCAACCTGTGGTGTGGTTTTCAGGTACTTTTGAAAAGTGCCACATGCTGAGATCACATCCCCAGGCCAATAACATCAAGAAGTCACCTTTCTGACAAATCGACTATGCTAAGATTTGAACCCAGTTCTCAAGCGAACATTCTAACTACAAGTATAAAATGGCAGGTAGCAGGTAACAAAACAAGCACTAAGAATATAACGAGGCCAGGAATGGAAACTCTAAAGAATATAAGTAGGACCATAAAAGCCCAACCAATGCCAAAATAGTCAAAGATATGTTTGTTAAATGTGACATTTAAAAAATATTACCAGAATCAGGGTTGGTTTTTACAGCCTTCAGGAATTTCAGCTTTCCATATTTGGTTTTAGTTTCTGTTAAACTGGTCTTAAGATCTATGATCTGTTTCACCAGAATATCATTGGCTCCAGATTGGGATAGACCCTAAAAAATAAAAATGAAAATGACCATAAGAGAGAGATAATGTATAAAGTAAAAAGGACCAAATCTAAGCAGAAAACTATATTACCATTCTATTGTAATAGGGCAGTGGCTCTGACTGATTCATTAATTTGTTTTTTATGACTTGTCAACATTTTGTAGTTTATTTAAAGCTAAAACATTTTTGGAGGATTGAGCAATACAACTACATCAGGATGTGTAACTGTTTTTTAAGGATTATGCAAAGGTGTTCAATAAAGTACAGCACAAAGATCTGTTGGAATTGCTCAGCAACATTAACATATTTGGGAAGGATATTAGAATAATCAAGAAATTATACTGGCAACAAACTGCCTGCATATAGATAGGAAATGAGTTCAGCAGATATACAAAAATAGAAAGGTGCGTAAGGCAAGGACATGTCTTCTCACCAGACATATTCAACATATATAGTGAGGCGATTCCAAGAGAATTAGATGTCCTACCAGATCTTCTCTCTTGTCTTGTAACAGCATTCACCCGGGGTAGGTTGAGCCAGCTTCAATTGAATTAACCGCATCGCGACCGAGATGCCAAACTAGTAGCACACTTAAATTCATGCAGTTTGGGAACCAGTGAAAGTAGTTCATCGAAACAGTTGCCATGAAAAAACACTAGAAATACAATGTGTGCAAAAATATCTCCCTTATAATAGTAAAACATTAGCTAGATAAAGACACCATTGTCACTAATGTCATATCATTATGTTGAAGGTATTTCTGCCACCCGCTGTATAAACAGCAGATCAAATTTCCATCCATATACACTATCACTGTTCAGTAATTGGAAACAAAAGGGATTGTCCACCTACCTGCAGCCATCGAGTGACTGTGGGTAGATATTTCCGGCATATCAGACAGTAACTATCTTTGAGACTATTCATCAAGTCACGATTGTCATCAGTCTCCTTAATGTTCACTTCGCTGTTCACGTCAATGGTTAGGTTGTACGTGGCTGAACCAAGACCATGGTCTTTGACCAGGTCAGAAGTTGAAAACCCTTCAGCTACATCTTCAAAATCATTGTCTTCAGAATCAGAGCTCTTTGAATTTTCTCTTTCAAGTGATTCTGTCCAAAATAAAAATTTTAAAAAAAACACCAATATTTAGAGAATTACTTGTTTACTTATTTTAGCGCATCATTTTACTCACAATTTTTGCCACATGATGCAAACAATAGTCAATGCACAAATTAAACAAATTAACCATAAATAAGCAACAGCATCTTTTTATACCTATCTTTGCCAATAAAAAAGAAACGTGCACAAGTACTGTAAAAACCATGGCATTTTAAGGAAAATTTATTGATTGAAGTGTTGTGGAATATTGTTCATTGGATGGAAGAAGCAAGGCAAGCCGAGGAAAGCAACATCTACTCTAATAGTCAAATAAATTTGCATAATAAATCTTATAAATCATTTGCATTTGTTTATAAATTTAAATTAAATTTATAATAATAAATTTGCATCATTTCAAGTTTTTGACATTTGATTTAGTTTTTTCAACCCACTTTCATAATGTTTGAAAAACTCTCAATTAGGTAACACACTAATCAATTTACTGTTTTAGATAAATTATGAAAATAGTAATGAAGTAATCATCCAAAGTAGTGTGGTTAATTGAAATAAGAGCAGCATAATTTGTTGCAAAAAAAAAAAAATGGAAAGAACAAACATAACTCATGTTTACCTAAAGCTCTGACATCATCTAAAAGAATCCAAATGTTGTTCTTTTTTTTTTAATTTATTTATTTTTGTTGAAAACCAAATGAAAATAAAAAAAAGAGGAAATTTGAAAAAGCTTTTTAATAACTGAATTTTTTAAAAAGGCCTGCATTAACAAAATGTCCCATTGCTCCTGTAAGAAAACAAACAGGACAACAGAAGAAGAATTTGTTAATTTCCGTCTGAATTTCTGGAACATTCATCTCATATCCTCATCTTGTTGCTATTACTACATTTTGGACACAGTGCACTTCAGCTTTCTTTAGGTGTCCAGCTGATTCAGGTTACCTGCAGAGAATTCTGAACAGAACACTTTATTTAATCTACAGGGATAGATTGTTCAGGTTCCACTAAACATGTCTAGGGATATCTCATCTTGTTCCTTTTTTTTTTAAATACTGCTCAGTTATTGCTCGTCAGGTTTCCACTAAGTCTGTACTACCTGACTCAAGGATTGAACTCACAATTACTATACCACCAAATTCACAAATCAACACTTTAATTCATAAAACTCTTCTCCCAGATCAACAGACAGCTGAAGAAGGCTGGAAGGTACAATGGCTGAAACTTTGTGAAAACAACAAAGATGAGGATATTAGTCCAAATATAAATAATGTAAATAAAGAACATGTTAATAATTTTGCCAGCTCTTCATGAATAAGCTTTTTTTTAAAAAAAATACCAATGTTTTAGATCATAGGTAGGTACTACCAAGAATTCCCCCCAAAATTTGCATACCATGAAAAAATGCTCCAAATTTAATGAAAGAGTTCAATTTGTCAGGAAGGTAACTTTTCATGTTTTCAGCTTGGGAAAGTGATCCTAGCATTTGACATCTTTTGAAAGTTCCTGAAAGCCATGCGACAAAAGCCTTTTGAGTGAAATTGTTGTGAAAATGACTACACCTCTCCAGAATATGACTTAGACTCATCCAAATAGCACATGTACTAATATCACAAATTGTCAGAAGAGAGCTAGCCAGGCACAAGTCTTATATCCTTACTACAGAATCCAGTAATACTATGTCAACTCCAAGCGACATTATATTCAATGATTATTTTATCAATGGAATGAAAACATGACAGTGGTGGCAAGGATTCAAATTCATATGAAAAAGAAAAAACAACATTTTTGTCTCTCACTTAGCATAAATACCTGGTGAAGAAAGTTCAAAATTCACAGAAAAGAATTTTGTGGAGTTTGTATATATTCATAGGGCAATGTGAAAGTTGATAAATTCCAAAGGTGTACCGCTATTAGAAAAAAAAAAACTTTTCTTCCTAGTTAAGGATTACTTGTATGAAAATAATACACTATGGAAGAATTGAAAATAATTATTCAGCAACAATTACAACAAATGCAGAGGGAGTAGATTGAATATTGAGAACAGTTGAAGGCAATCCTGGAAAAACAAGGAACAGTCAATGCATCAATTTCATTTTCGCCAGATTTGGTCGCTAACTCAGTGAATTTAATTACATCCCAGAAGAAAACATTACATTCCTATCATACTTCAGGCAGTACAAGGTCATTTTCAGAGAAGAATGTTTAGGATGTTCAGATGAAAAGAAAGTACATCTTCTGTTACAAAAATTTTGCCCCGCTGAAGATGAAAAATATCTAAATTTCATTTTGCAGAATACTCAAGAAAAAGTGTCATTTAACAAAACAGCATCAATATTATCAAAAGTTTTTGGTGAAAAGAATTCACTTTTTATACATGCTGGCAGTGTGTGAACCTTACTAATGATGAAGACATATTTAAATGTCTAATCTTCATTAAAGGTCTAACATCACGCAATGATGTAGAAATATGCTCACAAATCCTTACAAAACTTGAACAGAATTCAAAGTTAATGATACAGACTGTTGTAGAAGAGTGCCAAAAAGTTATGAATTTAAGGCATGATACAGCAAAAATTGAACAAAATGGCACATCAGAAGTACAAGTAGTTTGAAAAAAGACAGTAGTGCCAAAACAAAAAATCTGAAATAAAAATACTGCCAAACTTAACCTATGCTATGGTTGTGGTGTGCTTCATTTAAGAAAGAACTGTTCATTTAAAACCAAAAAATGTTTTAATTGTGGAAAAACAGGTCACAAACGAAGCTACTGCAAGGTGAAAAAAAAAAAAATACACAAATTAATTTGCTGAAAGTAGTGCTACCAGCTAAAAAACTGGAAAGTTCAAATAATAGAAAATTTGTGATAGTAAAAATTAATTTTAGCTAGGAAGAAATCCCTGCATGCATCTGTATGTTTTGCCTATAAATTTAGGGAGGGGGTTCTTTTGCAGTCATTCTTAACAGGATTGGAACCAACAGAAATTAAACAGACAGAACTGAAACTGGTTCAATTTAACAGAACTTGTTTATATACACCTCTCTGATCATAACTCAATTAGGATTCATTTAAAAACATACAAAACCTACCAAACACCATCCACAATATACAAGTATAATAGCTTCATCCACATGTAAAAAAACTAAAATTAATGGAAGCACTAATAATAAAAAAAAAGGCCAACAATCAATAACATCAACTATGAACACGGCCACAATATGCTGACCATGTTTGGAAGATAAAAAATCAATATATTCAGTTAAAAATAAAAATCATATTTTATAATGGCTAAAAAAATAGCAGAATGAGCTCAGATATACAGAATATTTTAACAATTTTTACACTTTTTGTCAAGAAAACAGTTATACAAACACAAGTTAAATAAAAAGCTTAATTGCAGTACCTTGTCAGTTGTCTTTAATGAAACTTGTATAAAAGAGGGATTGCTGCCTAAATACACAATCATATATATATATATATATATATATATATATATATATATACAAAATTTGGTGTTTTTATAGGGGAAGAGTGTTCAATATGAAATATAGAGTATTTATAGATATAAAGTGTGAACATAAGTATCAACAGTGCATAGTGACTGTCAGTTTCACATTTCTATGTTATCTTCAATTTTCTCTTGGTTTGAACTTCATATTGAGGCATGAAACTGATAGTCACTATGCAGTGTTGATTCCTATGTCCACACTGTTTATATAATTTCAACTTTTAAAATTGATCTTTATTTTTTCTACCCTTTCCAACAGATGCTCTCTTGTCTGATTTTACAATGATTCTGTTTCTATCTTAAACTCTGTATTACCGGCCTGCTGCCTGCAGCACTTGAAAAATCTTAATAAAGAAAATGTGCTCTCATTTTTATTAAGATTTTTTGAGTGGGGTACATGGTTTAAAATAAAAAACGGGACATCTATTTCAAACATGAGTATCCACTAATAATAATGTTTGAAGTAATGTTAGATTAAAAATAATTGCATTAATTCTTTATAAACTAAGACTGTAGAGTCTTGTTTTAATGAGCTGTATTTGGTATTTTCCATTACATGACTCAAGCATGTCAATAATTGTAACATTGGTTGACACTACTATTACTACTACTCTTAACATCATTATCTTCTTTATCAAAATTTCTCTTTTCACTAATCAAATTTACAAAATAGTCATTATTGCTACTACCATCATCTCCAACAACAATTGTCCATTTTCAGTTTTCTTTGGTTCCAGAAAAAAAAAAAAATATTTTCCTTTCACAAAAGAAAACTAAATGTTTTTGTTCTTTTAGTAAAACATTTTTTATCAATTTTTTTTTTTCCAGTGATGGTCACCCTGTATAAGGCTCGGGAGCAACTCGAGGTAGAGGTTACAGAGTAAAAGGCAGAGTTTATGTGGATATGTGGGGAAGATAATGGTTAACCATAAACTTGGACAGGTTGATTTTAGTGATCACGGAAGCATCTTCTTGGGAGTCATTTCCACAAATCAATGGTTCATGGGAAGAAACTATGAAATAAATCCTAAATTCAATTACTTATCTTACCAGCATTGTCTTTGTCCTCATCTGTGCCATCAGGCTCATTGTCATCATCAGTGTTTACTTCTGGGATGAAAAAAGAATCAGGAGTGGGAAGCAATAGCTGAAAACAATTCTCTGCTTCCACCAAGCAGCTATCAATTTGTGACTTGGATTCTGAAAGAGAAAAAAGTTAAAATCCAATGTTATAAATGCTGCATAGATTATGACTCAAAATGTGCCATGCTCCTTCGGGTCATGAATGATCATGGCTCTCCACAACTTCCAATCCTTCATAGCTCTTAGTAAGGTCTGCCTTTTCCCCATCATTCCCATTCCCTTTTCTGCCACCCACTTGAACAAGATAGGTTACTCAATGTTCCCCTCTGTCCTTCTTGTCATCAATATCTTCTGTGAGTGTCAAATTATCCAATTCCTCCTTCCTCATTATTTTTTTTTTTTTTAAGTAATTCACCCCAATCAAGGTGGGAGTGCCACTAGTATGCACCAGTGAAAATAGCTCATCAGAGCAGCTTCCATGAAAATATTTATAGAAAAAATGGAGGGAAGCCATATTACATCAGTGAGAAAGTGACTGGAGTCAAGACCCCAAATCAGAACTAATCACATTGCATATCAATCTTTAGATTTTGTCAAGAACCTCAAGATGAACAGTGGGCTCGCCAGGCCATATATGGCAACAGTATGTCTAGAAATTTCAATTTTTTTAAAGAATTTTGGTTGTTTTTTACTTTTTTTCAATACATCCTTGCACAAGGCCAGGCTGCTGAGGGATGTTTTTATTGATAGATAGAAGCTCTTTAGCCTTTAACAATCTATCTGCCCATTAGCTGAGGACTTTTGCCTTTCTGCTAGTACAATCATTGATGGCTTTCAAAAATAGTTTGGTTTACCAAATTTCACTTCAAGGCTTGAGTCAATTCCTGTATCATTTCCAGGCACTTCCCAATATTACATACTGGGATTGTCTCTCCTGGTCAATATTATTAAGAAGTTACCTCTTTGACAAATTGACCATTACAAGATACAAACATAGTTTTCATGATTGTAACACTAATGCTCTAATTACTCTGCCACATGCCCATAAAAACAGCCATAATACAAACAGGATTGAAACACTGTACTGCCCATATATATATATATAAAGTGACAAGAAAAGCAATGAAAAGGAGAAATAACCACAATATATACACAGGTGGGTGCATGAGAAAAAAAACAAGTAAACTAAAGTGAAGAACAGGTTAACGGCTAGAAACTAAACAAAAAAGAATTCTTTGGAATAAAGAATTAACTTGGGCTAAAAATGTAACAACAATTTGGTTTATATCTGATTTGTTATATACAACAGCTTTAACCTTCCCCACTTCTGTTATAATCAAATTTAAATTTCTAAGTTCTGATCTTCAAGGTTGGCACAAGGTCTTGATCAGGAGGTCTTGGCAAATGATGTGGATTCCACTAGTAGTAATATGGGGACTCTGTAAGTTGTCCAAATCTCCAGCTTATATGGAGTCCTGCACCTAGTAGGTGTGGGGTTGACCAGGGTCTGGGGTTAAGTTATTTCCCACCCTTAGCATCAACCTTTTTCTAAAATCGCAAGTTTTCAAAATATGTTTATTGGGTTATTTTACAAAATTGAGAGTGGTCAGAGGAATCAAGTCCCCTGCCACTTCCCTTCACTTCTCATCTCACACCATCACTCCATATAGACAGTAGTAATCTTTCTGTCCCATCTCCCACCTTCTCAGCATCCAACCTCAGCCTATTTCCAAAGGCTGGTACAACTGTCTTTGTAATGATTCCAAACTTTTAGAATGCATAGGCAAAAACAGAGATTTCCAGTATTTAATCTTTCTTTATCAGCTTGTCTCACACTGGTTGTTTTAGGTGATTTCCCAAAGCCAGGGACTTGACCATATCTAAGATAATCAGAGCCAATCCAGATGGCCCCCTGCCAGCCAATCTCAAGATATATTTTGTTCATCCAATTGTCCTGGATGGGAAAGAAAAGAAAGAAAAATATTCACCTTTAATAATAATAAAAAATATTATCTTTTTCTGTTTATGTGTTTCTTGGTCAACAAGACCACACAGCCTGTTGCCTATGGTCACTCCAGGTTAATATTTAATAAATGTCTTCTATTAAATTAACAAAATGGTTTAATTCTTTTCAAGACTATAAAGTAATTTCCTTTTAAACAACTGGTTCATGGAAATTTGGGATGCCATTATTGGTTGTAGGCATTAACCAACACCTTTTTTTACACTGTAATGGTAGAAATTGATATTATGGTATTGTCAAGTGAAGGATGGCTTGTGATAGATGGACAACAGAACAAGAATAATCTACCCCTGTAGATTAAATAAAAAGCTCAGTTAAAATTTCCTGAAGAAGGCTGGAGTGTACAATGATTGAAACATTCTGATAATAGGATAATGTGATAATGTGGTTACAAGTCTGATTGAAAATAATGTGTATTCAGTCTCTAGCTTTCAAGATGTTGCTGGGAACTTTTGCACACACCTAATATATTCAAATTTTGTTATTGGAGCCATAACCTAATCATATGCTATTCAGTTGACTAGAAAAACTATTCTTCATCATGAGATAGCATGAAGAGTGGTTAGTTTTAAGTAACAATATGCAAAAATATCACTTTTGTTTTGTGGTAGTTGTCATATCACCATTAACATTTTTGTTTATTGATTCTGATATTGAAAAGAGAAGAAAATAAGCTACATTTTCATTATATCAAGCTTTTTAGTTTAAGAAAATTAAAAAAAAAAAAATTAAAACACAAAAATGTACACTTTATGGAGAAGGTAATGTAAAAGACTGAACATATCAAAAATGACTTGCAATACTTTGTGCTAGAGATTTATTACTGAACAATGCTTCACAATCAGGTAGACCAGCTGATACTGAAAGCAAAAAACATTAAAAAGGATAATTTACAATAACATCGAATGCAAGAGGCCATGGGTCAAATAAAATGAACCACCAATAAATGTACCAAAAACTCACCTCATTACTATGCGCTCCTTCTAGAAACCCAAATAAATGATATGAACAAGTACTGCTCTAAGTAAGACCAACTTAGGGTAGCAATTGATAGAAAGCATCTGGAATTATTTAATTCAAAGGGAATAATATTCTATCAGGATAATGTTTGTATGTTTATTTGGTGACTAAACAAAAAATTCTTACAGCTTAGGATGCTTTCACTCATAATAGATATTGTATGATTGGACTAAAATTACTCTGGTTTTTAGAGAATTATTTTATTGACAAAAAAAATATTCAATTCCCAGGGAGACTACCAAAAGCATTGTAGAGCAATTCTTTGCTGAAAAAAATAAAAAGACTTTGAGAGGATGGAATATAATCTTATGCAGGACAGCAGCTATAGATTTTCACACCTGTAATCAATATCCAGTCACAACAGCTCACGAATTGTTAGATCATCTAGTTCATTGCATGTCCATAGATTAATGGTGTAGTATAAAGGATTCTTCAACCTCCTGTCTTTTCTTGACTGAAATAGAATATCTTCAATTTCTATGCCCAATCCATAATGACTCCAACACTTGTTTAGTGTTCAATAACAATTTGTTTACTCCAAGGATATGGGTAACTTGTAAGAAAAGTTTACTATACTGAGGTTTCTAACATACTTATTACATGGATTTAATACTGCAGTGTAGTAATTGTGTTTCAATTTTGTGTTCATTCATAATAAACTCTGTAATGTATAGATTTCTATAACGGTTGCCAGATCATCTCTCCCTTTATCTTCTCACACTCATTATTTGGTTCACATGAGAGAGTGTAATGAGAACTTATCTCTCATGTTTTGCTAGGCTTTTTTTATTTTATCATTCTGATAGTGACAGTAGAAGATTGATGACAATGTTGATGGCAGTACTCCTCATCTCAGCTTAAGCAACAGCAACAAAAAAAAATGAATTAAATTAATTTGCTAAAGTGGCCATATAGTAGAAGCAAATGAATACAGAAGTGAAAATACACAAGAGGAATGAGAATTACCTTCAATTTCTTTAGTTATCTTTTCCCGTTTCCGTTGTAAATGGAGTTCTTTTTTCCTTTCCTTTTCTTGTTCCCTCATGCGTTCTACAACGCTGCGAGCTTGAATGTCATTGAAGTCAATCTACAAGTAAGAAAACTGACTGCAGTATAAACTAATATTTGAAAATAATACACAACACATTTTATAATAATATTTATAAATAATGACTGTATAAATATTTACTGATAATATTAGTTACTGACTGCATAAATATATACTAAAAATAATAATTACTGACTATAAATATTTATTGATAATACTAGTTACTGACTGTATAAATATATACTGATAATAATAACAATAATTAGAGACTATATAAACTTATACTGATAATAATAATTACTGACAGTTGTCACAGCCTAGGTCTCAGGCATAAATAATTTATATTTAAGCCAGGATGCAAGATTTGGCTCAGGATATGATTTCCTGGATTCCTATGAGTAAGAGATGTCTACAGGATAGGAACAATACTCACAAAATACAATAAACAGTGGAAAAAATGACAGCAAATACATGGAGTCAATTTATAAACAGTTTAACATGAATGTGAGAACAGAAAAAGAGAAAATAAAAAAAAAGAAGTTATTTGTTTGGGTTTGCATGTGGTGGATGCAGCATATAAAAGATAAATTTCAATCATGTCAAGATAATCCCCATATTAGTTAACTGTGTTTTGGAGTCAACATATTGACAGTTCTTATAAAAAGGTTGACTCTGAGGGATAAGTTCATAACCACAGAATGTCTGAGCTCATGTATAACTTCAGAGTTCAGTGTCCGTCAAGCAGATGTTAACAATCGCCGAGGTTGATGCTCGAGACATATCTGTAATTTCTGGATGGGATAAAAGTGATTTAATCAACAGTTTTCTTTTGGGTTAATATATTATTCAGTCTTCTGGATAGATGTAAAGTAGGAGTTGGCACTCATTTTATTCAGTTGCTGTTTTTCAACTGCCAAATCTTAAATTTTGGTACCTCAGCATCTCTCATTGATCACGTGATCTGCCATGGTGTTGACTTGTATGAAAATCAAGCATCTAGCGCTTGTCCACTGATGCTGCTGATGGTGTAGGAAAGCATATCTACTCACTATCCCCATTCCTCCACATGTACATGATGTAAAAGTGATCAGAATGAAAGGGGAAAGGAAGTAAAAAAGAATGAAAGAGAGGAGGAAAAAGAGAAAGATACAGATGCATGATAGGTACTTTATTTCAATTTATTTGCTTTCTCCTCCTCCTTCCATTACAATAACTACCAACACACTCATATGTTGCTTACCCAAAACACAATATAAACATATACTATATAATAATTACTGACTATATAAGCATTTACTGATAATAATAATTACTGACTGTATAAATACATATTGACAATAATTACTGACTGTACAAATACATACTGACAATAATTCCTGACTGTAATTATTGGCTGTATAAATATGTACTGATAATAATTACTAGCTATATAAATACATACTGACAATAATTACTGACTGTATAAATATTTACTGATAACAATTACTGACTGTATAAATATAAACTAGTAATAATAATTACTGACTGTATAAATTAATATGTACTTATATTTGAAAATAAAACCCAATATTGTATAAATGATGTAAGATTATGGATAAAAATCCATTAAACCCTTAAAATAAAAATATATAAGTACACAGATAAACAACTACTGTAGCCAGAATTAGCATAAAAAATGATGATGTTCAAGATCCAAAAGAATGATTTGATTTGTCTCTTCTTAGCATTTTGTTTTGTCTTTATCATTTCATCCCAATCAAGGCATTAAAGCCACTAAGACAAGGAGTTACCAAGTGTAAAAGAATATGAAAAAAAGATAAATAATATTAAGGAGAGTGAACAATGAAAGAACGGGTATTAAAAAAACAGAAGGTAACAATTGACATTGCATTTAAATTTTTGAAAATCAAAGTTAACTGGGAAGCAAGAAACTGGAAGAGAGTTTCACAAGCAAGAAGTGCAAAAGAACTGTTAGCATAGAACTTACGGTTACAACTAGCCATTTCAAAAATAAAATGTTAAGACTTTGCCACCAATCTAATACTGCACTTAAATTCATAAAGTCTAGGTACCAAAGAGGAAAGCTCATCAGAACAACTACCATGAAAGTATTTATAGAAAAGGCACAAGAAATCTGTTACAGTGGTGGGAAAGTGATTGAAGCTGAGATGCAAAGTCAGGACTGATGACATTGCAGATTCTTTGTATTTTATCAAGAATCTCAAAATATATACTAAAGGCACCAAACCAGATGTGGCAGCAATATTCAATGCATGCACAAACAGTTGACTTATAAATATGTATGATAGATTTTGGTAAGAAAAATTGTCTAGCAAAAGCCAGGAAAAAAATTAAATAACTCCGAAAATTTATTTTACATAAATCTCAATGTTATGGATAAACAGAGAAACAGCACAAAATAAGATAAATGTGGAATCCTTACCATTTTACAGTTCTTCAGAAAGTTGTAGCCAAGGGTTAGTTTCTTATAGCCTGGTCCAAATTTTTGATTCCACTGCTGGATGGCCTTCAGAGCATCCACCTTGAGGTTTCGAGCCACAGCTTTTGGAGGTGGTAATGGCTGCTCAGGATCAATTTCTATAATTAACAAGTATAGGTTTATTTTAACAAGATAAACTCATGACTTTCAGAGGAAGAAAAAAACAAGCTTCCTAACTTTGTTACCTTTCGTTTACACCTATGAAATTTTCCAACTGCTTTATTTCTCATGTCAGTTTTGAAAATAATATCCACTATGAAAATGTTATCAAGTGCAATACAGCCTCAAAACCAAGAGTATTTTGTCCCCCACAATCTATAATACAGGGCCCCTCACTTTAATACATTTCAATTTTCATAAGGTAGTAGTCATATAAAATACAAATTTTATTCTAACCTACTTATGTACAATAATGGATCATATGCAATATATGTGAACAACTAGAATTGAAAATAAATACAATGTATATAAATACAAATTAGGGACATGTCATAATAGATCATTCCATTTTAAATAAATCAGCAATTTTTAACTTCGATAATATACAGGGTGTCCATAAAATTCGTGTGCACTTTAAAGTTAAATTTTTTAAAAGTGCACACGCACTTTATGGACACCATATATATATATATATATATATATATACACACACACAGATACAAGATGTGGTGTGGGCTTCATCTGGGTTACAGGAAATTAACAATGGTAGATACCTCAGAGGAGAAAGTACAAATAAGAAAAATATCAAATGACCATACAAGCAAGAATTAAAAATAGCATATACCTCTGAGATATCAAGCATAGATGTGCCCTCGGTTTGACTTCCCAGTTAAGTCTTTAAAAATCAATTCAGTTAGCTTATTTGGAGTGTCCATCATCAGCCCATGGGACATTTTTAACCAATCTATTTATTTCTGATATTCTGCTTTCTTTTGGGACTTTAGGGTTAGGGGGAAGTAGTTTGTCCAAAAAAAATAGTGGCAGAGTAAAAAACAAAAGAAATACGATGGCAATTACATTAAAATTAATTGAAATAAAAAAGGTAAATTATTTAAATGTGGAATTTAAGCTGAAAATTGAAATTTAAACTCTTGGAGGGAGAGATGAAAACAACAACAACAAATACTTTTTAGCATGTATCCAGCCTGACATTACTCCAATTCTTTTATTCAATAACAAACTTGAGTTTAGGAAATATATATATATTTTTCAGTATATGTGGATATAATGAAACTCAGAATGATTGAAACTTTTATCAGAAAAGGAAGAAATTCTTTCTAACTTACCAATTGTTAATTCAAAAAATGTTTGAAATTCAGACACTAATTTCTCACGAAAGCAATGTGATCTTTGGAAAAGTTGGTCAATTATTTGGAAAGCTGACCGCCGTATTTCTGCATGGTCCTTGCACAGTTGTACCATAAGAAGATGGTAGGCATGGAGAACATAGCTGTCTGACTTCCTGCAACAAAACAATCAAAAATATTTTTTTTTAATTCTTTTTTTTTCTGTGGTAAAGTTCACCCTTACAAGATTATATAGATAAGTATTTTGAACTTATATTACTTCATATATATGGACACATTTTTTTTAATGAGATAACCAAGACAACACATGTAGTATGTACAGCGTTTAAAGTAAAAATAAAAATGGGGTGTAGTTGTATGTATGTATGTATGTATGTATGTGTGTGTGTGTGTGTGTATATATATATATATATATATATATATATATATATATATATATTGAGGCAAGTTTCATTGAATAATTTAGACAGTTTTGTCTGCTTATTTTCAATAGGATCTTCTTTCTCAAAAAAGAACTCTTTATACATCATAGTCACCTCCCCTAGAGCGCAAATATACAAGGAAATTAAATTAACTGTCCTCACCCCACGCATAAAAATATAATTTTCAAATGAACATAGTAATTTTGTCTTTGGAAATAATGAATACTACATTTTTGTCTTAAAACACACTCTGAGGATGACATTGTGTTAATGTCAAAAGTACTCAGAATAAAACAATATATATCAACATGGTAATTTTCTCTCTTTTTTTTTTGATTCTGACATCAAAAAGCTCATCTGAGAATATGGGCGATCCTATTAAAAATAAGCAGACAAAACTTGTCTAAATTATTCAATGAAACTTGACTCAATGAAAACATGCTGCCAAAATAACATATACTATATACATATAAAACATTACTCTTCAAGTATGAATTGAGTTCTCCAAGCCACTGGTGTATTTTGTATAGAGAAAAACATTAAAATTCCCTTCCTTTCTGCTGTGCGACAATGGCCTAGAGGTAAGATATCTGACTGATGTCAAATCAGCTGTGTTTTGATCCCGGGTTGAAGCAATCTGACGTCTAGCCACACTGAGTAGCTGTGATACAGCAAAACAGTCTAGATGTGGATGACTATATATATATATATATATATATATATATATATATATATATATATATATATATATATACATACATACATACACACATTATTATCATTTTAGCCCATTTCAGGATTCAGGCCCCAACCTGCCCAAAGATTTATCAAGCATAGGGAATAATAAGTTTTATCCTACCACACACCCTTCCAAAACACGTGTGTGTGTGTGTGTGTGTGTGTGTGTGTGTATAATACATCTTTGTTACAAAATATAAATTGAGCCAGAGTATCCAGACTAAGTTGAAAGCAAAAGAATATGGAAAGATACAAAAAAAAAACACTATTTTAGTTACTGCTTACTTGCAAATCTTTTTAAACTTTTTCAAAATGTCTTCATCCAATGTTTGTTTTCCTGATGTTGTCAGTTTTTCCACATAGTTGGACATCTCCTCACACAATTCCATATTCAAATCACTAACATTTGATTCCATAGTGCCAATATTCTTATGGGCACTAATCTGCAGAAAAAATTAGTAAAATGATAGTTAAAAACAAAAGTAAGATTAAAATGAATTGTGAATTAATATCAGCATTGTTTCAAATATGTTCTTTAGTCTTATTAACGTGAATATTAACATCAATGAAACATTTGCTAGGGACATACAAAAACTAATGACAGGTGTAGTATATTTTATACATGGATGGATGAAATTTTCTTTCTTATCTAAGAAACCATGTTAATTGTATTTAAACATAACTACAGGGTCTCCCTAAAGCCTGGACACATAAGCAAAAATGCATGTTTTCAAGAAATTAAATTTTTAACAATATTTTATTGAACTGGAATATTAACAAATAACATCTTCAATATGATTTCATCATTTGTGATTCAGTTTGATGCAATTTGCAAGATTCATGTGAACTCAATGCAATAACTCTACACTTCTATCAATTTTAGTACATTCACTCTTTATGCATTCAATCAAGTGTATTGCATCTGTGATTTTCATTGTGTACACCTTCTCCTTTAGCATACCCCAGAAAAAGAAGCCGATTCTTTCTTTCAACAAAAACCAAGTTTAATCTGTGGAGGTAAAAAAATATAGTTAATGAGATCTCCCGTGTGTCCAGACTTAAGGGACACCCTGTATATTCTCCATCATTTGTTTAAATTGAAGAGACATTTTTAATTATCTTGCATTATGACACATTTTTAATTATCTTTTTAATTATATTTCATTATACTTTTAGTTATTTTTCATTATGATTAATTTTTTATTTTTTAATTATTTTAAATTATGGTATTTGAATTATCGTATTTTAATTTCAATTATTATCATATTTTTAATTATCTTTCATTATGATCAATTTTTATTTATTTTTTAATTATTTCAAATTATATTTCAATTTCAATTATTATTATATTTTTCATTATGATTAATTTTAATTCTAAATGTTTTTAGATGTGCCATAGAAATTAGTTAAAAACATTTTGCTATTGGAAAGTGTACTAATTGTCTAATTGCAAAATACATGAAATTGTAGCAACTAGCTTATCCCTCAGGAATAGGAAAAAGGGAGTTACCCTGCTTAGTTTAGATCAGAAATGACAGAGGGCTAAGTTACCTGATACAGGCCACTGGGTTGATATCATGAATCAAACCCTGGGCAGAAGACAGACAGAACTACATTGCTGGCCATGTATGTTGTGTGGCATCTGTTAGTCAAATAACTATTTATATTCTCTAGTCATTTGTTATTAGGTTACATAATGGCATAAATTAGCAATGAGAATTGGAGATTAGTCTCCCATGATACTTCTTGTATCAGGTGAATAGCATTTTTAATTTTTCAGTCTGGGTGACTATCTTTCACTGTTCAAATTTTCAATTTGGTGGGCATCTGATATACTTTCTTATATTTAAAAAAAAAAAAAAAAAAAAAAAGAAAAAAAGGTACAATTTAATTTTTAAAAAATTCAATTCATGCCAAGCAAGGCAATAATACCACTACGATATAAGAGACTTCTAGGACTGAAAGAGAATGAGAAACATTTAGAAGGAACCGGAAACCCAATCCTAAACAGGAAACAAAGGATAAACCTCTACTCCTGTTCAAAAGACTGGGAAGGAGTATGAACCGAACTATAGAAAATTTGGCAGGATTGAGGAATTTGGTGTTGAAAGATGGCAGACTACCAAAAGTATTTAATTCAATATTTCAGTGCAGATATTGTTAATACAGAAAAACAATATTGTAACCTAAAATAATGTTAGCGCTTCTGGTTATGGCCGATTACAGAAATTGTGTCTGCCAGATAAACCAGCTAGGAAAGCTTTTCCAGCTCTGTGCAATTTAATGGTCAGACACTAAAACCTTCTTATATTGTTTAGTGTTTTGACTTCAATACAAAATTTTAGCAATCTGTCGAAACTATTGCTAAGTATATAAGCAGAATTATATAAGTTATCTGAACACTGTGGATATAGGAAGCATTGTTGGACATGTAAGCAGATTGATTTGCAGAGTTAACTATGACCAAATTCAATGCCAACAACTTCCAGAAAAGACATCTCAATGCTTAACAAAGCCCAGGAAACAATACTTACAATGGAGGCTGCGACCAGAGATATGATGGATTTGATGATCACTGTTATTTAAAATTATACCAAATATGACTCCCACCCCCAAGCAATATGAAGGTCCAATTTCCCAGTCGCACTCACCATTTTCTTGTTTCTTGGGTGATGATTATTCATCTAGATCTTGAGTTGGATGAAACTGGAAATGTGATTAATGTTGACGGTTTGGCCACATGGCACAAGCCTATGAAAAAAAGAAGACACCTAGCAAAACAAGCATAATATCTTGGAAACCAAAGAAGAAAAGACTGCCAGATCAAAATGCATGTGTTGCAAGAAGACTGCAAAGAGTTGCATGTTAAGAGCAAGCCAAGCTCAAAGAAGCTAAAAACATATACAGAACAAGTGAGGCAGAACTAGGAATGCAAATATGTTTAAAAGAGGTGTCAATAGAATTACCATATCATTGTTCCAGGCCACGGATCATTCTTGTTCAGTTGAAATTGGTTTGATGCCCTGGATGTCAATTTACAAAAACATCATGTTGTGAGAGTCTTTTTTTAGTTTTTCTTTAATCAGTTCACCCCAAGCAAGGCAATGATGTCACCAAGATGCAAGAGGTTACTTAGAGTGAAAGAGAATGAAAAGACTTTAGAAGGAACCAGAAACCCAATCTTAAGCAGGGAACAAGGAATAAACCTCTACTCCTGTTCAAAAGACTGGGGAGGAATGCATACCAGGTGATAGGCCAAACTATCTACTGCTCTTGAGGAGAAAAAAAACATTGGTAAATATAATTTCACAATTCAGAGAAAGATATTAGAAGTATGGAGTTGAAGTAGACTTTAGAAGCAACCAGAAACCCAATCCTAAACAGGAAACAAGGGATAAACCTCTATTCCTGCTCAAAAGATCAGGGGGATATGTGAATCAGATGGTACGTGAATCTATCTACTACTATTAAATACTAGAGAAATACACAGAAGTGTTTCACAATGAACTTTGTCAATTACAAGATACCAAAGCAACAACCTTGGTGACCAAAAACTCAGTTCCTAAATTTCTGAAGGCCCATTTCTTACCTTTAGCAATGAAGGACAAGCATACAAAGAATTGCACAATGGGTGATAGAAGCTATGAAAGTTTCAGACAGGACTTCAACGGTGGGGTCCCAGACACTGAAACCCAATAGCTCAATGTGCCTGTGCGATGACTCTAAATCAACAGTAAATCAAGCAAGTTAATTGAAACAATATACCATTCCTTTGATGGAAGATTTATTCATGTCTTTGTCAGTTCATTAAGTTAGATTTAAGTTATGCCTATTTGCAAGTAATATTTGATGCTGAATCAAAGCCATCACAGATTGTTTCACTACAATTGACTACCCTTTGTTGTTTGCAGGATGCCAGGAACATTCTAGTGAATAACAAAGTATTTGCATGTAGTTGCATAGGGCATACTTTAACTAGTCGGAATGATGTAGAACCCATAGAAATTGTCAGTAAAGTTTTAAACTCAATACAAAAAGCTAAATTACAGTTGAGGTTGGACAAGTGTAAATTTATTTACATTATTTATATTCAGACTAATGTCCTCATCTTTGTTGTTATCATCACAATCTTTTGGTTGTCATACTCTTAAGCTATATTCTGGTGTCTGTTGATCTGGATAACCTTCAGAAAATTTCATATTTCCCTGAAGAAGGCTAGGGGGCACAGCAGTTGAAACACTGAGATAATAACAAAGATGAGGATATTAGGCTAAATGTAAATAATAACAACTAGATATTCCAAAAGAAAAAAGTATAAATTTATACAGCTGGAGAAAACTTTGATATGGGTTGTCAGCAAAAAAGGTAAAACCTTTACCTGTGAAACAGGCTTCAGCTGACAAAAATGTTAAAGAACTTCTTGATTTAGTGAATTATTGTTAAGCCTTTCTCAGTTTAGTGAATTATTCAGTTGAATCATAAGTAATTTCCATTTTTGGCAACCAATTTTAATGATGACTGTATTAGCCTAACTACTCATCATAAACAGCAGTTAAGAATAAATTTGGAGTGCACTAACATGAGTGGCAGCATACACAGTGGATTAAAGAAAAAATATTGTTCTCCATGACAACACAAGGTTGCATATAGAGAAAATGAAATGTGAAGAAATTTTGGAACTCAGTCTGATCTACCCAGCCAACATATTGCTCTGACCTTGTACCAACCAATTATTACCTTTTTTTTTGATTGCTTCAAAAGGTTTTCCTCCTCAAAAGAGGAAAAACTTCTTTAAAACCAAGAATCTTTTCTGTTAATTCACTCTAAAATAAAAATAATTTATATTTACTAAAATTCACACCAAATTCTTCCAGAGCGAGGCACTTCCATTGCACTCCGGTTGGATTGATCTTTGCAATCACCCCAAATGTGGGCAGCTCAGGTGCGCTATTTCTAAGTGTGGGGTCTACATTTGTGCTCATCCCAATAAACAAGCCAAAAACAGATTTTTTTTAAATTGTAAAAATTCCTTGTAAGTAGCTCAAATATCATTCACACTTACGAAATGTGAATAACTCCCTGATTTTTGGTAATTTTTCATTTTGAGAATTGGAATTGTTGCAAGATAAACAAATTTTGATTTAAAATTTATAATTTCAAAAGAGTGCCAAAACTTCAATAAAAACAAACTTTGATTTAAAATTTATAATTTCTTGGGGTGAATTGATATTTGCGATAAGTAATTTTACATTATTAACAGAAAAGATCCAAAACCAGATTTAAAAGTTTGTTGAAAACCTTTTTCACATCAAATCCTGTGGAAATTTACTAAAAGGATATCAAAAACCTTCCAAAGTGGAAACAAGACATTGCAAATAACAGTAGATATATAATTGAATAAAATGTTAACTGAACTTTATTTTTTGAAGAATAAAGTTGATAAACAAAAGAGGAAATTATTTACAATCCAACTTAGATATTATGACATGTTTATAAAAATCTAGCTCATGGAACCACTGAAATGCTTATGATAAAAAAACACATTTTGGGAATGGATTAGCCTTCAAGAGAAATCTTTCCAAAAAGCCAAACATATGCTACAAGTATCACCAGTATTAATGCACTAAGACTCATCTCACCCATTTGTTTTTGCCTGTGATGCATTACCATATAGTTTGGGAGTTGTATTTCCCCAAGTTGTAGATGGACACAAATACACAATAAGCTTTGTGTAAAGAAGTCCAACTATAACAGAAATGAATTACTCCCAAATTCAGTAGAACTATTGTATTTGTTTTTTGTTTTTTTATTGATTAGGTTTTTATGTCTTATCAATCCTTTGTAAGCTATTTAAAGCCAGAAATTGTTTTTAGATTGTGAGAATTTTTTTTCTTTTTAGATAATAAAGACTTAGTGATAAAGGTCTTACTAATTAACCCATAGCTGAGGGGAGAAGAGGTGGATTCATACCTTTCCCAAAAGCATTTGTACATAAGTGAATATAACAAACCCAGCTGGAATTGGAACACAGTTCTCCAATTAACAATTCTGAGCCATTATCCATTATCCACCCACACATCCAAGTTTACAGCACTTGACATTCCTAAGTGGTCATGGATCTAGGTACTGACTGGGCTCGATGTTGTAGTGGTTCCCATATGATCAGTGATCATATGGGTACCAGTGTTTCAAAGTGATGTGGTCATAAGCCCTATTGTGCTTGTGTGATAAAGTTCAACAAGTACATATATGACCTTTGTTTTACACTGTACACAATGTACAAGCCTGTTTTGATTAGTTATAAAATGGCATCAAGCGACCCATAATGGGTTGATATGTTGTAAAACCAATCAATAAATAAGAAGAATGTGTCACAAATAGTATCAACTAAGTTACAAAGATTTAATACTATCAGCATATGAGTATGACAAAGTACAAATATGACAGTAATTATATATGCCTGAAGTCAACTATTCTTGCTTGAAACAAAAAAAAAGTACTTGAGTTTGTGCATTTGTTAAAAGCCCTAGAAAAATTCTCGTTGCCTGAGGACATTAAATGTTAGACTCTCCATAAATCAGTATTGTCTCATGGACTAAAACTTGTGTTGCCTGGCTGGTCAAGCCAAGCAACCTTGATGAGAACTATACATACTATCAACATAGGTGCAATAGTATTCTGAATGGGTTCTTAACATTATTTATAGTTGGACTAAAATCCTCCTTTTTCTTGCTGTTATCACAATGCTTCAGCTGTTATATCCTTCAGCCTTCTTCAGGTGTCTGTTGATCCTGGTAACTTCTAGAAAATTTAAAAACTAAGTCTAAATCTGTACCACCTGACAAAAATTCAAAATTACAATACCACCAAATTCACACTAGGCTATAACAGCTTGCTCAGCAGGTCTAGCATAAAAACAAATACCATATGGGATCCATTAATAAAGAAAGAAAGAGAAACAATGCTGCAGTAAGAAAGAGAAGCAGGGGCAGAGGTGGTCAAGCATAAGAGCAAGGCAGAAGCAAACCAGTAATAAGAACATTAGGTTTTAGACTTTAATCCCTACCTTCAGGATTGTCCCATGAGACAATAGGCTAGAGGATTAGAGCAATTGTAAATAATGATAACTTCTCATTTGGATAGGTACCTTTTGTGCAGTAATCATGTAATAATACCCACCAAGCAAGCAGTAGATATTACAAGAACTACATGAAGGACATCCTGTAGATTAAGAATGAAGTCACTTGTATGTGGCATTGCCTGGTGGTCAAGCATAGAAAAGGAGGTTGAGGCTGTTGTTGATCAATGTCAAACAAATTAGAAATTGTTTAATGAGTCAGAAAATGCCTGCAGTTGCACTATTGTATTTTTAACTTTGTCATAATAAATCATGGTCCAGAATCTATTGATAGGCAGATATTTCTAGTTATTATTGATTCATGTTGCAAATGGATGGATGTTTACTCACAAAACTCAGCAAATGGAAGTCAGTTGTGTTTGCATTTCATAAACCATAAGACAAAATTGAGTGATAATGGAAAATTCCATGCCACTGTCAATGAAGGGCCATCCAAGCGTTTAAAAAGGGCACAAAAGTTTTCTCAAAGGACATCATCAATATCTGGTTAACCAGATTCTTGTTTGCATATAAAAAGACTCCTCAAATGTTGACCAGTTATTCTCCAGCAGAAATGATGAGGAATCAGAAGTTACATACTCCGTTGAATAATGACTTCCTCAACCCTTCTAAAAAATAAAGTCATGATATAACATTGTGTGGGTTAAAAAAAAAAAAAAGGAAAATAATTTGTGGTTAAGGATTAAAAAAAGATCTAGCTAAAAAACAGCCACATTGGGTGTTGGAAATATGAGTTTTTTTTTTCAAATACAATATGACAGGCTCAATTGACAAAAAAAAGAATCCAGATGTAGCAATGCCTTTTCATTGGCCAGTCAATTGACGAATGAGCAATTAGCAAAAAAGCAAGACTTCCTGGTAAAAAAAAGGAGTTGGTTACTTTCTTTGTAATAACTCAGAAGTTACTACAGCTATAATATTGATTTTTGGCATACACGTAATGTAACCAAAGAAGTATCTTTCTGCAAATTTTCACAGTCCAAGTCCTTATAGTTTCTGCAACATTAACAAAAAATTTTGAATTTTTGTGGCAAGATTACTGTCTTTTGCAATGAAATGATAAAAAGCACTAACAACTTTCAGCTCTGTCATTGATATTTTCTATCCAATAAAAATGTGCAAAACACATTGCATTAATATTTTTCAACCAATTAGAGGTCAAATTATACTATTCTCATTAAAATGTGATTCAACATCAAAATTATAAAAGTAATATATGCAATGAGTAAACACAATGAAAATAAATTTGTTTTATACAAATGTCTTTGCAGGAATCCAATCTAAAGTTGCACAGCTCAAATAATAAAGCACTTCTTTGAAAAGCAAAAGAATGATTTATAGATATGTGTATAATCAAAAGCAAAATTCATACCACATTCGTGTTGAGAATTTTGTTTACTTCAAATGAAGTGACACAGCATTCTGTTACCAAATGGCCATCAACAGGTATATACCACTTGAAATGTCATGACTGCTGCTTTTATACAAAAAGTGCACGGACACAGTAGTAAGTGAAGAAAATTCTTTTACTTTTTTTTTTTTTTTTTTTTTAATCAACCAGTTGTGTTTCTTAAGTTAAAGTATTATATATTTTTAACAACTATAAGTTCTTGTTGTTAGTATAAAATATTGATTTGGGGCACACATGTAGAGTGGCCAAGAAAGTATCCTTCTACAAAATTTTACAATCCAAGTCATTTTCTAACATATAGCTGAAGATTTTCCCAGCAAGATTAATGTCTTTTGCTGTAAAAAAATAATAATAAAAAGCACTAACAATTGGGAGTTCTGTCATCGATATTTTAATGTGTGTTAAACAAAGCATAAATCATTAATATTTTTCATCCAGTTAAGGTTCAAATTGAGCTATTCTCTAAGTAAAATTAAGTCTTTGAGTCATGCAATTAAATAACTGAAAACTATTGCAATAATTAACAAAGTCACACAGCATGCATTTCTAATGTAGCGATCATCATCGCCATCACACACACATACAGATGATACAGCAAGCATTCATTGGCTAATCTCCTCAAAACTAGCTTGCTGATTGGTCAATTCCAACCAATCAAATCACCTGTACGCAAGGAATAATTTTCCCATGAACAAGGCTGGAGCCTGTCACATGAGACACAACCTTATATAAACAAAACACGAATAAGCCTCTCTCGTGTTCTCTTCATTCATCTTTTTCCTTGCTGCCAAGATGTAATCTTCAAGAGCCCCCGTCTTAACCGTGCGGCCAGACGTTTAAAGAACATAGCCAACAACTCTTACCGACTTTCTCGCAAGTCACCAGTAGAGTCCAGCTATTTACGCCTGTCTACACAAATCCACAACTTTACTCACAACGCACGCACAGACACAGATCTTTGTATCACATTACACATATTCTTCCTCTGTGACTAAGCCAAGTTCATGAACCAGCTCTCTCTTAATTTCTCAAAACAATACACTTCTTAATTAATTGTATTCTAACAGCAGACTCTATTCAACATAGAATCCTGAACATTCTTATTCAAGAGAAACTCTTTCGAACATTCAATCATAAATCAGAATACAGTTGAAGGGGAACAACTTTTTCTCCTTAATCATTACACTTCATTGCATGATTGTTTTGTATGTTATATTTCAATATATATTTTATTGTTGATGCACAGTTGGAGTCTCGTTGTGTTTTCTTGAATCATTAAATGTATAATAGATAAATGCTCTGAGAACACGCATTTACTTTTGATAACCTCAACGCATAAACCAAAGCAGCATTTACACTAACACTCATAAGTCATGCTCCTTCTTACATCACCGAAAAAAAAATTAGTAAGCTAATTATTAGCTTAAACTAATTTTATTAATATTAGCTGCTAATATCACTGAACAGATTTTCACTAAAAAAACATTGTAACAGGTTAACTTTCTTTGCTCTTATTTTCCTTTCTTGTACATGCATGACGGTCGGGTAAACTGTGCCACACACAAACAAAAAATAATAAAAACTAAAAAATAGCATCCCTTGCATCTCATTGTAGTAAAAATTAATTTTTCATACACTTAATTGAAATTATTAAAAATATTGCACAACAAAGAAATTACGAGCTGAAACTTTAAGCAATCTTTAATCACTTCGTTGATAAAAAATTAAATTTTCATTACACATTTTTTTTATTTATGCGCAAAGAAATATATTTTTTAAGAATTATTTCTAAACCAAAGATTTAAAAATAAAAATAACACTTTTTAATCTCAGTAATTGACCTTCTATGTTTTGTAATTTTTTTTAATGAAAAATTTATAAAAATTTACATTTACTTTTTTACACTACAAGTTATATAAACAACTAAATTTTTACATACAAGTTATATAAACAACTAAATTAGGTATTTCTTTCATTTATTTTTTTTTTTTACTGTTTACGCTTTTAAAAATAAAAGAAAAAAAACACTTACAATAAGAACAATTAAAAATGTTGTAATTGCAAAAATCTTCACCTAAACCAAGATCGTTTCATCTTATTTTGAGCTAAGACAAAACAGAATTCACGGCAATCTGAATATTTCCTACAAAGCGGAAGTTTACATAACTCCATCTTTAACGTCAATCAAACCTAAAAGTGTCGTAAAACAGTTACTTTAAAATTCACTTTTGCACTTCATATATCGATTATAAATGTTTACTTGATTTTTTTTAAATGCTCTTACTTTAACAGAAATCAACTGAAAAAGACGGGATATTTTTATAAGCTGAAACAATATTTTAAAAATAAAATTAAAGTGTCGCGTGTGAGGTGGCGGCGGGTAACTATGGCGTCTGCTAACTGGAACCAAGAGACCAAATCTAGATTGAACGAGAAAATTTCCGGTAATATGAACGATTTAGGTTCTTTGGCCAGGCAAATTGTACGTGGATCACACTCAAGCGAGGTAAGAGAATGCATTTTATTACATTTTAAAGTCTGTTATTGACAGTGAAGAGAAATGTCTTCGAAAAATATTTAAGTGCATGAGAAATTATTTGTTTTGCCTAGCAAAAATAAATGTATCGACACAATCTCTTAGTCTTCTTATACATTTTTTATCTTGTCGAGTCCTTTTATTTCAATAGGATTATACGCCTAAAACCTTAATTTCGCTGTTTGTCTCTTTGTAGCTATTGTTTTCTGGTGAGGTTTTAACTATAAATTTTAAATCTATGGTTGATGTGAAAGTTTATAAAAACTAAATTTACAATTAGAATTAGAAGCTAATTATCATGACGCCATACAAGTGTTAAAAAAGTAAGAAGTAACCTTTCGTTGTTATTGTTTAGTTGTTTCTTTTTATTCTAAATTAAATTTAAATAAATTATTTAAAACTGAACGAATCCAATTTATTTAAAAAAAAAATAATGTGTATAAGTCAAAAATCCAGAAAATAACAATTCTCAATAACATTGAGGTAATGTACTTTTTTTTTACTTTTAATGACATTTTTTTTTCGTCAGAAAATTTACTCGCTACATTATTCCTAGTTTTTTGTTTTTAACCTTACCTCATATTTGAATCATACTTTCTTTAAAAGTTAAAAATGTTTTTTTTTTTTTTTTTTTCGGAAGTGGGTGGCAGTTGTAAAAAATATAAATATATCGAGAGGTAGTAAGGAAAGGAAATCTTTAAAAATATTTTTTTTCTTTCGTTTTTTTTTTTTTTTTGCGGGAGTGGGGTGGTCACTACTTTTCTCATAAACAAAACAAAAACGTTCGTTTCTGTCCCTACTCTGAGTTTCGCTAAGATTGTTTCCACTCATCAGGAGGCTTGATTTTTTTTTTTTTTTTTTTTTTTAAACTTACTGTGAGACAAATAAACATTTAATTTTATTTGCTACTAAAATGCTCTCTCTTGATTTTATGCCCTATAATTACAAAGATTGCTTGTCAGTTAAAAGCTTTCAGAACAGAAATACTCTGGTTGACTTGTACTGTCGTTCAGGATTTTTATGTTAGTTAAAATAAATGTCCAAACGTCCGAATTTCAAAACAATAATAAAATAAATATAAAGAAAACATGAATATGCCTGTTAGTGTTTAAATAAATCATTTTTTGTAAGAGTTCTTGGATTGCAAAGGAAAATATTTGTCACAGATTACTTCCACAACAAAGAGAACAAAAATCACTATGAGTTCAGACTCGAAGATCAGGAGCAGAAAGAAATGTTGAAATCTCGAATTGCAGGTACTATGTCACAAATCACAATGCATGTATATTGTAACCAGTCGGAAAAATAACTCACTCACCGACGACCGCTATGCTCGCTAAATACACAAATTTTGTCTTTTTTTTTTTTGTCTCCCCAATTCAAGAACACCAACTACTTTTATCAGTATTTTTTTTTCATTCGTCGACAACTGGGAGAGGATGCACAATAGTATATCAAAATACTTTTATGGTGATTCCTGCAACTGACTTGTTTCTAATTTGAATATTTTTTGGCAAGTAACTTTCTTTTTCGCTACATTTCCCGTCGTAGGATACACGCAACACGCTGTCGCTTGGTTTGACGAGGTAATTCACCTTTTTTTTCGCTATTCTCCACCCCCTGCCTCCGATCTCATTATCACAAATTGACCCACTTGCTACCTGGAGGAACACTGGCCACAGGGAGCTTTCACCCACATTATGTTCCCAACTTTGTATATACTGTGATTCTTATGGTACTAACATTGTAGTAATTCCTTTCACTTTCAGTTGGTAATGGTTAATCATATTGGCAAGCGCATTAGTGGACAATGTCATCCTTTAGTGTGATATTATGCCAGTACACTGCCTCCATTATTGAACACTGCTTTCTTGCGGCAATCCTCTTTATGCTCCGATGAGATCTTTCCACTATGCTGTTTCCTGCAGGAACATATGCGCAACGAAAACAAAGTTGGACTCTCCAGTTATCCAAGAAATCTTTAAAGCACTTACTGCAAATGCAGTGTCATTGTTGGTTAGGATTTCTGAAAAAATACTTTCCAACTGTCGGATGACGTTTCTTGAGTCTTGTTGAAGCAGGAATCGCCACATCCCAAATCAACTTGGGTCACAATCAATCAACGTAAGGTAGTGTTGCCCAACATAATGCATCATATCCATTCCCAAGCGGGTCCAGATTTCAGTCACGCTTAGGTAGCCACGTGGCAAACGACTTAAGGCTGGGTCAATTGACTAGCGTTCTTTACATTTTCTGACCACTGCCTTGATGGCTGCCTTGGATGTCATAGGGTAAACTCGTCTCACAAAATACAGTGTCTGCTTGAGGTCAGGATATCCATTCTGGCAATGTATGGCACTTATATGATCCGGAGAGGTTTCATTCACCATGGAAGTGCATATAGGGCGTATTGGTTCAACCTCCTTCTTGATCACATCTATCGTTGCAGTACTCTTATAAGCTTATCCACTCGATTCTCACTTGACATTACTAAACTTATTGTGATCAGTAAGTTATACACTTGGATCAGCTTTTCAAGAGTACTCAAATGCCTCCAGATCAGCATCTCACTTGCCACCTTAGTTCGTATTCTGACTTTGCCAGTGAGCATGTTTGATACCCACTGATGCACATATGCGGAGGCTGAAAAGGTGTAGCTCTGTTGCACCCCACTGTAGTGCTAAATTGATGCCCTTCAGAATAGCATCCAATTCTGATAAATTGATTTGTTGTGCATCCTTCACAGGCCACAGTCAACATGCCTCCTCCACAACGCTGCCGTCAACCTCCAACGAAACCCCTGTAACGAGAGAACTTGCATCAACCCACACCTCATAAGTGTGTCCACTTGTGCACCACTTACCGTGTGCAGTGTCATTCTGGCATATTCTTTCCACTATGTCTTCAGTCATGTTCTTAAAAGGAGTATCTGTTACTTCGTCGTCCCAGCCAGACTGATGCTGTTCAGCATTTAACAAATGATGCAGCAACACAAAGCCAACCACACACAGAAATGTGAGCCACCAGTTTTCCATGCCACGAGAAGACATTACGTCACATCAGGACCTCAGGAACTGATGGAATGTCATTTTCACATTTCCACTTAAGCATGTTGTTATCCTGCTCAACATGCAAACCCAGCACATGTGTGCTTTTCCACAACCACTCCAGATCCTTGCATGTCAAACCAAATGCAGCCAAGTGCTTTTTCATGCAAGCTGCTGAAATCATGCTCTCGTCAATATAAATATCATCAATATATGATGAGGTTGCCCGTTGCATTGACTCGTCTTTCAATAACACGGCATGCACAATGGCTGGTGCAACATTCAATCCAAAACCCATTCTTGTCAAGCAATATCTTCACCCCTTGAAAATTACAATTTGAAAGGGCCAAAGTGACTTACGGATATGCACTTGTAGATAAGCCTGCCGTAAGTCAAAGATAGCGACATTAGGTCCTTTTGTACGCCACTTATGCCACCAGATTTCTTGGCATTTCCCATGTGACTTGAAACATCAATAAATACAAAACATCTTTCAACTTCAACAGTGAGTCTTACAAGTTTTTTCACCTCAATACACGAATCTGTCACATATTTTACCAGGGTTAAAGTTAAATTTACTTGACAACATTTCCACAGCTTGTGAAGTACACTCACTCAACTACATAAACTCAACAGAAAACATCAAGTGACACACTCAAAGAGAAACAACTTTTTTTCACAGAACAGTAAGTCAAGTACAATATTACAAAATTCAATACCAAAAGCAGTTTAATTTTTCTACAAATACAAAAATACCTTATCAAACTTACCCATTTTTATACATGCAATTTCTCAACTCTTAATCTTTCATATATCTTCATAAACACTTTAATCCACACAAGGAAAAGACTTTGAAGCAATTTAAACAACTCTCAACATACTGTTTTGTACCTTCTATTGGTTATATATAAAAAATATTTATTGTTGAACCAAAGTATTGTTTCATGTCGTTATTTCTCTTATTGTTTGCTTGCTTTTTGTTACATTTGTGAAATTAAAAAGTAGCAAGCTAATCACATTTCCATCAACCCTTTACGGATTGGTAAACCCATCTTGTTGGTGGCATTAACCCCACTACAAGCCACATTTTCTCTCTGGCTTAAAGACAAGAAAAAAGAAGTCTATAGAAAATAAACACAATTTCAAACAGAATTCTATACCCACATACATAGCATATTAAAATACACTCAAACTTTATTTTCTACCCAATAACAGACGACATTTACAAACATGTCAAAAAGATTCCACAACTGCAACACACACCATTTAAATCAAAGTGTCTATTGGTTAGAAATTAACATTACCATGTGAAATATTTGACCATTCAGAGAAAGCTGAAACCCTATTTTTCCTGATCCTACTTTAGAAAAAAATTCTTATAAAAATAGCTTTTTCCTTTCTCTGCCTTCCCAGCATGTCTTGAATGAAATATATATCAGCAACTTCAAATAAATCATCTTCAACAACAGCACTGTCCAAGCCAGTCAGTAGCTTTAAATGAATCATCTCCAAACAACAGTGACAGTCAATGAATATTCACAAGGTTTCTCATTACTAAAAGTCTTTTATCAACCACACCTTTTTGTGGACCAACTATTTAAAAGTCTTTTCTAAACTATGAATTTTTCTGTAGACCCAAAGACTTTAACTCAACTAAATACTATTTTTACTCCTTTTTGACTCTTTTGAATTCATTATTATAAACACAAATGACTTATTTAACAAGTATATCAATGATTTTTCTTTTTTTATTTTATTACTTGGAATTTGGACATTTGAGATTTTTAATATAAAAAAACCTGGACAACTCCATTTCCTACAATGGATCTAGTAATAAGCATGTTATTTAACACAAATCTTTAAAGAGAAAGATAAAAAAAAATTGAAATTTTTCTTTAAAAATCTTAAATAGATTGTATAAAT